CAGGATTTCTGCTGGGAGATGATTGGAGGTGAAATGAAAATTTGGAGAGCAGTGAGATTCGAGTCAGCGATCACCGAGTTTCCGATTCGATGATCAATCAACTATCAGCTATTTATTTAACCCCCCACTTCACTCTATTTTCATCCTTTATATAAAATGACTTGACAAGTAAATATGTATGTATGTGTGATCAGATTATTCGAAGTGTATTACGCAGTAATCTCTGCATCTTCTTATTACACTATGGAAATATTTCATCGGAGAGAGTTATAGTCTGGAATATAATTAACAGTGATGTTTTGAATGACACCATTGATACTGTGAAATGTTATCTCGAGTTTTGCCTAGATATCTTTGTTGCTTCACTAAGGAAAACTAGTTCTACAGTTTGATTGTCTGCCTACTCATCAGGTTAAGAAACAAAGTAGAGGAAAACAAGGGCTTTATTAATTAAGTAATAACGTTGGTACTTGTCAAATGAACATTTTAATAAAGTTATACATTAAACCTCTGAATCGTGTATATAATCAAGGATTCTTTTTCATGCATGGGTTCTTTCAATATGTGAAGACTTTTTAAAGACTTCAGTGGTAGTAAACAACCTAGTACAGAACCATTTAGTGATGTCTGCGCTTTAAATCAATCATTCATACGGCAATCCTGATTGGATGAAGAATGTTTTTCTGAATTCTCCAAGAAAGATGTCTTTATGCGTCACAAATCCATGAACTCCTCACATAGCGTTAACCTGTATTACATCTCAAACTTCTGATTATATTGTGATATCCACAAACTAACATGTTTAATAAATCGTTTTCAGCTACCTGGAAATATGTATACTAATGACAGGCAGTGACTAGCAGTGGAATCCAGGATGCTCACTTCATCCTATTTGGGACTCGTCAGCTGAATGTGTCTGTATCCCAGTGAGTAATGTTGTTCCCACTGGGATTCGGACTCCGGAGTGAGACTGATCAATTCAGTTCAATCAATGACGGTGTAATACAAGCAATAACACTATACCTGGAAGTATATTAAGATAGTTTCAGTAGCTAAGTCAATGAATTGAGGTAAATGTATTAAATTTCATCCCATTGCTGTTACTTCTACCTGTTTGAACCTTCAATGAAAGATTTTTGGAGATCCTAATCAATTCCCACACATAAGCGAAACAAACAACTTGAATGATAACACCATCTTATATTATAATGTTGCTTATAATCTCAACAGGAATGCCAAGTGTATCTTTTCAGACTATACTTCAACAATCGACTCCTTCTAAACATCTTTCTTGTTGTACAAGCAAGCCAGGACACGTACTGAATCCTGGACAATCAGCTGACTGTATCTCTTTCTTCCTGAAGAGGAACAATATACTGTTTACTGCCTACTGAAGATGATCTGCAAAGTTCTATACTTTTCTCTTTCTTTCTGTATAAATTATCATCTTCAGCTAGTATCAATTTTATCAAATATGCTGATTACCTGACAATTTCCATACCTGTCTCCTCTTCATCATATTATTCTCTCCTGTTGAACGATAGTCCTTCATGAATGGTATTATGCTTAATGCTTCAAAATGTTAAACTATAAAGTTTAGTTTTAGACATGAACATAACCTATGTAAACTGCTTACTTCTCGTGATTTATCTCGGTGATATTGGCTACCCTCCTATACATCTATCTCTAGTGTATTCATTCTTAGAAGAGGCGAATTTTGGAGCGAACACCTCAATGGTAATGTTTCTGACTGTAACACTGGGTGATATGAATGTATACATATATATAAGAGGTGGGGTATCAGTTCCGTTGGAGTTACACATATGACTGACTGATGACAGCCAACTAGCAGAAAACCTACGTCACATAGGACTTCCTACCTACTCTTTTCAACTAACTAACAATTCCAACATCCAGCTGTCAAACACAAAGCCATATTCGGTGAAGATACGTTCAAATTTTTCATCCTTTATAAGTTAAGTATTGAATGCCTAAAATAGAATTGTCTTTTGATCATGACACTATGGAAAATTCTGGAGAATAACATGAGGAAGCGGATATCAACAACACACACACACACACACACATAGACTCTATCTACTGTGTTTAAACCGATCTAATCACCTAGTCTATTCCAAATAAGTTATTATTCATCGTAGGCTGACATATCAGTTGGAAGAACAAAGGAAACCTGGGAGCACTGGACAGCTGTTTCGTCCAACTAGTATGGAACTCCTCAGCGGTGCGCACCCACGACCATACCCGCCAGGTATCAAACGCGCAACCCTCAGGTTCCGCGACCAGCGCGTTACCATTGAGTCACTAGGACGTTGGAAATATGGACCATTGGATCCTACTGACCCAGTGGCTCAATGGTAATGCGCTGGTCGCGGAACTTGAAGTCGCGGGTTCGGTCCCTGGCGGGTACGGTCGTGGGTTCGCACTGCTGAGGAGTCCCATACTAGGAAGAAACGGAAGCTGTCCAGTGCTCCCAGGTTTCCTTTATTCTTCCAACTGATGTCATTCTACGATGAATAACAACCTGAAATATTTCCAAATCTCCACAACTCCCTCAAAAATATTCCAAATAAGACTGAGAGTGGAGTTAACTTGATTTTGAATGTGATAAAATGATCTACAACATTCAATTTGGAGATTTCTGGAGAGAAGGAACCGTAGAAAACTGGGAGCACTAGATGATAGCTGTTTAGTTTTAGTATAGGACTTCTCGGCAGTGTACACCCATCACCCCGCCCCCACCCAGGACCTTCAGATCCGATGGTTCATATTTCCAAATTCTGTCAATTCTCAATATACCGCCACATCAATCCAATGTCGTCAAGAACTCCCATCGAAAGTTCGGGAATCACTTCTCAAAGTAAGTCGCTGATGAGTACGACAGAGTTATTTAGTTTGTAGGCTAGTTTGTGATTTCTTTATTGATTTCTAGCTGGTATTCATTACAGATTCATATCAACTGAAGAGACATTGTGAAGACCTGGAACGACTGGATAATTGTTTTATGATAGTATAGGACTCTTCAGCAGTGTGTACTCACGACCCAATCCTTCAGGAGTCGAACCAAGGACAATCAAGTTCCCTAGCCAGCATACCAACAGTAGTTGTCCAACTAATATCATTCTGGAATGATAAATACTAACTTGAAATCAATTAAAAAAACCAGCGAAAACTTGCAAAATCCCCAACTGACTCATAAATCATTCGTAACCTTCGAAAGAGGACTCAGTTATTCGACTTTTAGCTTAAACTGACTCACTAACTTCTAGAACTAAAGTCTGGAATAGCTAGGCAGTTGATAATACCTTATTCTGTTGTAGAACTACTTGACACAAACCCAATTTTCTCAGATGATAACAGCAGGCACTTCACCAGGTAGTGCTTAAGAGCTTAAAGCCTTGGTGTTTCATGTGTTATCATATACCAGGTCGTATCAATCGAAGCATATCATGATGATAAGCCTTCTAGTCTAAGAATAACATTACCAAAAGATCAGTAGACTCTATCCATCCGTCAAGACTAGACAACATGATATTGGCTAGTGAACAATGAAGAATTAATGCGTTATCCTTTATGCATAAAACAGTAATAATAAGTACTATTAGTATCACCCCAACCCAAGCCAAATAGTAATCAATGGGCTAGCTGGCTGGCTTCAGGATCATATTGCAACGCTACGTATCATCATAGAACAGTACGTAGAATGGCAGTCAACTGGATCTCTACGTCAACTTCATCCATTTTGAAAAGGACTTCGACATCGTCGACCGAGAAGTAATTTGCTAGCTGCTGCCTCAACACTACATAGTGAGTGCCACAAACCTTCATCTTGTTCATTCAACAGCAGCTATATAGTGATTCTACGTGCCAAGTGATCTACAGTGGAAAGCTCACTGATGCCTTTGAAGTGAAGTGAAGACAGGTGGACAGGTAAGACAAGGTTGCCTACTTTCATCTTTCTAACTGTGGTCGGCTGGATTAAGCAAGAAACTGTGAGAAGCTAGAAGATGGGCATACGCTGTTTGACCAATGAAGACATCCTAGAAAATTTATATTTCGCCGATGATAATTTATATCTGATGTCTTACGTTGCACAAACTCGAAGATGTACAGGCGAAAACTAATAAGTTGGCAAAAGAGTCAGCAAGGATAGGACTTCCTTCAAGTGAACATAGAGAAAACACGGTTGATGAAGATACCCAACAAACAACAGCAACAAGCACAAATCACCATGAATAGGAGAAATATAAATCAAGTTGTCTCCTTCACCTACCCACCAAGCGGCGAAAGAGGCACAGATGAGTATATCAAAGCCACAATCGGAAAGACAGTAAGATAGGCCTCCACTCATCAATCTGATATCAGTATGGAGGTCTACTGCACTGCACTGCATTCAGCATAGAACGTGATTAAGATCCGGATTTTCAACACTACTAATGTCAGTGAAGTAAGTCAGTGCTTCTATATAATGATTAAGAGAGTTGGAACGTTACGAAAACCATTTCCAACAAACTATAGATATACACCATTAACAGCTGCCAAGTAACAAGTAACTCTAGCTGGCTGGCAACAAACTAAGAACCTATACAGAAGAAGACAATGAAGATGGAGTGAAAATTGATCATACACTGAGAAGATCATTCATCGACATTATGCATTAGATTAGGCTGTCGAATAGAAGCCAGATTAGAAACGACGAGACAAAGGTGATATGGCGAAGATTGTATGAGGAAGAACTGAAAGCCTATGTGTAGTCATGGAGCCAGGTTCAAATGATTTCATTAGGAACTTAAAGGAGAAAAAAAATAATTATCATAAAACTAGATTATAAATGAATCCTTTGAAGAAAGTAAACATTATCAAGATAGTTCAGAAAGATAAAAAAATTCAACAGAATTACCTAAGAGAAGACAAAGAACTCATTGTCAACGCCTATCCAGACAGTGTAACTTTACACACACACACACACACACACACACACACACACACACACACACACACACACAGTGGAGTATATGCATATACATAATAATAATAATAATAGTAGTAATAATAATAATAATGATAAATTGGCTAGACAAGGTCACTTCCTGATATTTGATCATGATGTGATATAAACTCTGGTTTACTGACATATTGAACATGTTCAATAGATGATTTTCTTTGATGATTTCCAATACTCTTTGATAATTTTAATGATGAAATTGGTGATAAATATGGTATCATTTTTAATTGATTAATACGTATTGATTCTATTGTTGTTGGTATTATTTTTCGATTATTTATTGGTGTTATAATGAATTGTTTAGAATTGCTTACTTTTTCAATATATCTTTCATAGGGTAGTAAAGGTAATCGACGACTATGCTTATTTTCATTATGTGAACAAAATCCTGTATCATTGCTTACATTTTCAATAAGAGTTAAATTAGGATTTCTAGTTTTAAAGTTATCTGTATGATTTGATTGTTTATTATAATTGATTAATTTACAATTTTTTAATTGAAACAGAAAATCATTCGATGGTGGAGATGGAAGATTAACCTGATTGATAATAAGAAATAGAAGTAAAGTATGAAAATCAATGAGATGAATACACTTAACTACACAAATGACACATATTTATAATAATAATAATAATTATTATTATTTGTTCCTTGGGTTCCTAGTGGAACATAGAGCTTCATTTCACTCTCTTCTCTACAATCTTCTCATCCTGGCTTCATGACTGCTAACAAGCTTTCATTTCTTCTTCATACTACCTCCAACTCATTGTCACACATTTGGATTCTACTCAACAGTCTCGCCTGGTACATTGATGTCTCTGAATAGTTTTCTCAGTGTATACCGAATCCATTTCCTTTCAGTGCATATTTTTTCAGTGATAAGTTCTTGATTGGTTTGTTGCTTGTTATTCTGGCCATTTAATCTTCAGTAACAAGCGTAGATGGTACCTGTTGATGAATGTTTGCAGTTTGTTGGAAATGCTTTTCACAATGTATAGAAACACTGAATTGATGTTGATGATTAAAATCGGATCTTCTTCCACAGGCTGAGTGTAGTGTAGTGCAGTAGATCTCCACACCGATTTCAGATTTTGATGAATGAAAGCCTGTCTTGCTACCTTTCCGATCCTGCCTGGCTTTGATATACTCATCTGTACTTGTGACGCCGCCTGTAGTTAGAAATGACGCTGCCTCATTGGTAGGCAGGTGAAAGAGACAACTTCCTTTAGATTTCTCCCGTTGATGGTGATTAGTGCCTCTTGTTGTTGATCCTGTTGTTGGTTGGTTGGGTATCTTGATCACCTCCGTCTTCTCTACATTCACTTGAAGGAAGTCCCGTCTATTCTGTCAGCTTGTTAGTCTTCGCCTGTACATCTTCGAGTATGTGCGACAACAAACTAGACATAAATCCTCATCGACGAAATCCAAATCTCCTAGGGTCTTTTCATCTGTCAAACAGCGTATGCCCATCTTTCCCCGTAGTGTTAAAGCAGTTGCCTCACTACGTCTCGGCTGATGCCTCGATCGAAGGCCTTTTGAAAATCGATGAAGTCGAGGTACATGTACAAAGGACTGACATCCCATGATCTCTTCATTGATGATGATGGGTAGCGATGTAATTTGATCCGCATATGATTTGTTCATCCTGAAGTCTGTTCCGGTCACCATCCAATTGAATCCAGCGCATTTTTTAGTCTCTCCAGGATGACTCGACTAAATTTTATGCTTGGTGTGGACAGCAGCCTGATTCCACGCCACTGATTGTTCTTGCAAATACTTAGGTCTCCCTTCGTTGAGAATTTGACAAGGTAGTTCTTCCTACAATCGACAAGTACCTTTCCTTCCTTCCTTCCAGACCTCCTTCAATAATGGCATAACCGTATCCGCTGGTGTCTCTGCGTCTGTTTACAGTGCTTCTGGCGGGATTCCATCTGGTCCTGCTGCTTTCCCGGATTTCAGCAGCTTCATGGCATTCAGGACTTCCGCTTCTGTCGGGGGGTTTGTGTTAACTGGTAATTCTATGCCTCATCTGCTGGTAGTATTTCAAGACGAGTCACAGGTATTGGTTGTGGTCACTTCAAGAGTATTTTGAAGCGATCAGTCTATCGTTTCGTTTGTTTCTCCTCTTTGCCAACTAGGTTTCCTTCAGTATCTATCACTGCTTTCATCTGCGATGATCTCTTCCCAGATAGAAACACGGTTATTTTATATAATATTGTCACGTCTCTCCTACCAACACCTGTTCTGCTTCACTTGCAAGAGTGTCGTAGAGGCGTCATTTGTCTTTGTTCGTACTCTTCTTCACTTCTTTGTCCAGTGTTTTATAGGTTGTGTTCAGTTCCTCTTTTCTTCGTTCATCCCTGCCTGCACTGGTTCATCTTCAGCCTTACCATCTTCCTCCCCTTTGTCAGCTTCCATGTACCCTGCGTCTCCACCTTCTTGGCATTGTGATGACGTCGATCTGATCTAACTGTGGTCTGTGCATCCGATGAAGTCAAATCCATGTCGCTGCCTTGTACAGACTACCTCCAATCACTAGCTCATTAAATGCCCAGAAGTATGCAAACAGTTCCCCATTCTCATTCATTTCACCTAGTGCCCCTCCACCCATGATGAATTCTCTTAACATGTTGTCCACTCACAGTTTCACATTCATGTCACCCCACCCATTACAATTCTCATATCACCAACTGGGGTGCAGTCTTCTCTAGTACTCATTGCACTTGTCTATAGACTCCCTCCTTCTTCTCATCACCTGCATCACTTTTAGGTACACAGCTTAGCATTGAATGATTGTGACTTTCCTTCCTCTTCAGCTGAATCCATCTTGCTGTCATGATCCTGATCCTGATCCTGAAGGAGGAGACTGGTTCCCACTTCATGAGAGTGAGTCTTCGATGCTCTTCGAGGCGACATCATGATAGCCACTCCACAACTCAGTGTGCTCGTGGTTATCGTGTGGGTGATAATATCGGAGTAGATTATTGACTCTCCAGTTGACAGTTTGGAGAGACCACTTCCATTCCATCAGCTTTCACAGATTCCAGACACTTCCATGCCATACCTTCTCATCTCTTTTGCAATTTGTGGAGCCTTGCTAGTTTCAAACATAGTGCAGACATTCCATGTCGCCATCCTTACTTACTCTTTCATCGAGAGAAGACACATCGGTCAATTAGCTTCCAGAAAGCTTTCACCAACCGGTGTCATTCTGTCTCCCAGATTCCAGCGAGGAATAAGTTTACTTTTATCTTTTGTATTCTCTTTGTGCTTTGAAGTTCCTTTAGCGATAGGATTGGTTTTCTGGGTAGGATTTCCAGCAATAGGCTCAACCATCCTCCTTGATCCGGGTTCAGGAGCGCTTGGTGACTAGTAAACCAGTTAACTGGGCGAGGTTATATTGGTAGTAAAACTTCCCATTATCTCTGGTACATAGGAGTTGGATGTAGATTCGATGAACAAAGATTCAGTAATCAATTCCCCTCACAGCCTCTATCACTCCACCTAATTATATTGGACTTAAGCGGTACAGTGGTTGTATTCCACTCACCTTATTGTGTCGTTGTGTGTTGTTGCATGCAGTGCGATAGATGAGTTTCCTTCCAGATTATTGATCTCATTCGGGTCTGTCAATCAATATTCTTATGTTCAGCTAATCCAACTGATTCTGACCAGTCGGTCTAGATTCACCTATGTACTTGACCTCGTAGTCATTACATGCAATCTGATAAATTAGATTACCTCGCTTCATGGGTTCTATCGGATCCTCTAGTCAGTCGATAAAGCTTATCTCTAAGTGAATTTGTAGGTTCAGTATCAAATAGGGGTAGACGCCAGCACTTTATGAATGTCTGTAGTTTGTTGGAAGTGTTTTTCGTGACACGCCAAGTTTCTGAACCATATAGCAGCACTGACTTGACTGTATCGGTGTTGAAATTTTCGATGTTGTTCACGCTTTGTGCTGAGTGCAGTGCAGTGCAGTAGATGTCCACACTGATTTCAGATAAATCAAAGCCTGTCCTACTCTTCCTATTCTGGTCTTGACTTCTTTGTCTGTGCCACCGCCGCCGCCCGTAGTTGAAACGATGCTGCGTCCTAGGTAGGTAGATGAAAGAGACTACTTTCTTTAGGTTTCTCCCGTTCATAGTGATTAATGCTAGTTGTTGATGCTGTTGTTGGTTGGGTATCTTCATCATCTCCGTCTTCTTTACATTCACTTACAGTCCCGTCTTCGCTGCCGTGCCTCTTCTATTAACGTTTTAGTTTTCACCTGTAGATCTTCAACTTCATGCGACATTAGACACAAATCGTCATCGGTGAAATCTAAATTTTCTAGGCTGTTTTCATCAGTTCAGCGTATGCTCATCTTCTCGCTATTCATGGTTTCGCTGCATAATCTAGTTCACCACAATCATACGTTATGATTATTAGCAATGATAATTTCTGCTAGAAACGTGGTCATCAAGTAAATAGGTTAAAATTGTATCAGTCACTGTGTGCTATATCAATCAAATAAACAAATGTCTAATATGGTAGTATTATTAACCCTCATATACATAACAAGTATAGCTGAAATCATCCACTTTATGTAGCCTATAAAGAAATGACCACAGACTTCAAATTATTCAGTTCAGATGTTAGATAATCTCGTTCAAAATAGTTTACATTGATCAAGATGAAACATATTCAATAGGTTCTTTCAACTTTCCAATCGAAATCTTGTGTGTTTGTGGAGGGCAGGAGGATTGGGATTATTTTTTGCAAACATTTCTATTTGTACTAGGTGATGATTGAACTTGAGATGAAATTCTGGACCGCTGTCGGATTCGAACCAGAGACCAACGGGTTACCTGCCCGGTGCTCTGCCAACTGAGATACTATGTCTGACTTCTGATCAGATCAGTTGGTAGAGCACCGGGTCAGTAACCTTGTAGTCACTGGTTCTAATCTGACCACAGTCCAGATTTTCATCTCATCTTCAATCATCACCTAGTATCAGTTTTGTTAGTCTGCCAAACTATGGCTGCTATCTCACATAGTCAAATCATAATCAATATGATGTTCCTCTTCTGTGATTCACTTACATTTAGATTGAGATGAAAGTCCTGACTGGTAGGTAGTCAGTGTGAATATGATCAAGCGATAGTAAGGAGTCACGAATTCACATGGTAGTCGGCGGACAAAACCCCGCATGTAATTGGAGTGAAATGAAATTCTGCTCAGCAGTTGAACTTCGTAGCCACCTCACGTGGTAGAGCATTGTGCCCGAAACCCGATGGTCGCTAGTTCGAACCCGGGGCAGTGATTCAAATTTTCATCTCACCTTCAATCATCACCCAATATCTTAGATAGTCAAATGATAAAATGTTTATGTATATACAAAGAAAGAAACTTATACTTACATCAAAGCTACCTTCTTCATTACATTCCGATACAGTAGCATTGCCTTGATGATCATTCAATATTGGTGAATTTGGTGTTGGTGGCAATTTGAAATCATTTATAGATGTACACAATGATTCATTACATAATTCTGAATTTATATCAGAATTTTTTAGTAGACTAGGTGTTTGACTCTCCTCTGGACAATACATTGATGATGAACAGAATGATGTATCCGTAGTAGAAGTAGTGGTAGTAGTAGTAGTAGTAGCAGTAGTAGAAGTAGTAGAAGTAGTAGTAGTACTAATAGTTCTAGTAGCAGGAGTATATTGATTCACATTGAATGTTTCCATATAATCTTCTTGTCCTTCTTCTCCATCTGAATCTTTTCTACAATTTGTACTGTCTTCTCCTTCTTCATCGTCTTCTTGTTCATTAACATATCCATTTATATCATGATAATATCGAATAGTATTGGGATTATTATCGATAGTATGTACTGATTTTCTACCATCATGATTATACCGCTGAGAAATTGACTGATTATTACTTGATTTCATTTGTAGTTCATGAGAATTATGATATACATTTGATTTATTCACCAATGATGAACGTGGTGAACAAACATTTGTGTTTTTCTCATTTATTTGTCGTCTATTGAAAGAGAAAAAGACAACGATAGGATTAAAAGAAAGTAAGTGGTACTGTCTTCGTTGTATTGTGTTCTCTCAGCTGAGTTGTTTAATCGTCGAGATGCTTTCATCGCGTCTTTCTAGACAGTGACATCATCATCATCATCATCATCACTAACTTCAGTATGAATTGTGAGCTACCTGTCAATATCTCTCCATGATTTAGTGATTTAGTGGCTTACTCTGACGATGTGGTCTGTGATTGGTTGTTTCCTTTGATTGTTGTGTCATTGACTGACTGCATAGAGTTTTCTGATGACTGTTCCTCTGATTCACCTCTCACCTTACTGCCGTTTTTCATTTTTCTTATTCCTTGATAGATTGAGTCTATGTCTATACATCTGTTGATTGCTGACTAACTGACTGACTGACTGACTGACTGATCTGTCCAGGATTTCTACATTGTCGAGATTGAATTTATGTCCATAATTGTTATCCTTGTGCATTGAAATGAGTGACAACATGTTGTGACGTTTAATAGCCAACTAGTGTTCATGTAGACGAAGGCGAAGGTGGTCGATCACTTTGTCCAGTGAATGTAGTGTTGGCTACAGTTGTTGCAGTTGATTTTATAAATGATATTCACTTTGTCTTCTCTGATTGTTGTCGCATCCCGTGGTCTGTATAATAGTGTTTGGAGGGAATTGGTTCATGTTGATTTATGAATGGCCACACCAATTCCAAGTGGTCTCAGAAATCTTGTCATGATTTGTGGTGATATATTCTTTATGTATGGTAGGACGATGCGTTTGTTGATTTCTGTCGATGACTTTGTAGTTGGTGATGCAGGGGATAGGGATGTTTTGATGACGTTTGGTGGGTAGCTGTTCTTCTTTAGGGGGTGGACATTGAGTAATTTTCTTCATTTCTCCATGAAGTTGTTGTGTTGCAGTGTGTTCTCACTCTTTTGAATAGAGTCTGCACACCGATGATGTTGTCCAGAAAGACGGTGAAAGCTTCACGACTAAACAATCCAACTTAGAGAACACAATACAACCAAGACCATCCACCCAAGCTACAAATATTCTCCATTATTTGAAGTGATAGTGTGGTATACTAATCTGTAGACAGTCAGTATGAGATCTATAGAGAACAGGCCTGAACTTACCTATACTTATCAAGAATTTGGTCTACATAAACAGAGAAACAACATTTAATGTGACAATCAGTCTGTTAGCCAGTGTTAACAACGAACCTGTACACGCTGTGCAACGATCCAACTTGTTATCTGCCTTTCATCAACATTTCAAAACACAAGGGAAATAAGGAAGAAGGTAGTTACTAGTAGAAAATGATAAAAACACACTAAATGAAAGTAAATGCCGTTCCCGTTGGTACACGAACTCTAACCAGGCGACTGAAAGATATTGATACCACTATCTGACCGCTGTCCAAACCTTGCATAGGTAGATCGGTATTCGAACCTGTGACTTACGTTGAAGGATATTTCACATATTAAAAGCAAGTGAGTAGCAGTCCTGTAGACGAATCATATACTGATGTGACACGTTTTAGTCTGATGGGGCATACGGTGGTTAGGTGGTGTGCAACCTCAGGGAGTGAATTTACTCTTCTACCTAAACTTCTACGTTACTGATGCGGCGGCAACACCACGGTCTATGCTGAGGATGTAGTAAGGGTCGAATACCTGTAGTGCAACAAAGTGAAAGTATGTGAAGTAGACTCAGGTGGATATCTCTCCACAGCTATAGATGATGTGAGGAAGCAAAAGTGCACAGATTTCGTCAGTCACTGATCCATTAGGCTTAGCTGGAATTCACAGGTAAGTGAAGTGGTCTACTTGCTCAACTACTCTACTCCTTGTTGTTTGACGTGCTATAAATGCAAACTACTTTTGGGGCAACAAGTTGCATTTGAGCGGCGAGGAAAGCATCCCAAACATTATTATATTGCTATTCAGAGTATCCAGAAAGCTCTGCGTTTTCACCTAACAAAGTACTTTAAGTCCAATGAGGAGTCTTTTGTAACAAGACCAGTAGCTTTAAAGTAGGTGAGCAAGGGAAGACCTCCATAAACACGTCCACGAATGAAGAAAGCGAGAATCCTCAGTGAAAATCACTCATCTGATACCACATCACCGGTTCGAACACCCCATACAGCGACTTCAACGTAGTGGTATACTAATTAAGCACAACTTTCAGTTAGTGACACTGTTATAAGATCCTTCGACCGACAAAGTGAGATACCGCCTTCAGATGGATAAATACATCTCGTACCAGGCACTGATAAATTTGTTTGTATCCCAAAACATGATGCAGGAAGACAAGGTGTGATCAATACATTAATAACCAGGTCTGAAACCTGTTCCTCAGCTTCTTTTAGGCGTTTAGAGATTAGAAAACCTACAAACTTAGACATAGTGCCTATCAGTCTGATTCCCTTGTAGTTGTCACAGGAAATTTTCTCTCGTTTCTTGAATACTCGGGCAACTATTGGTTAATACCAATCAGAAGGAGGCACATCTCATTCGCATACACTAGCTAACACTTCAGTTAATCCAACTAGTACTCCTCTATTACCATTTTTAACAACTTCTAGTGGTAGCCCATTGTGGCCTACTGCCTTGCCTCTTTTCACAATACTTGCAGTCTTCTCAACTTCTGGAAGAGTTTGAAGGCTTATCTCAATATCCTATCCAACATACGAGTGAATAATGGGCAGTTAAAGAATAGTTGTAAACCAGTTGAACTATTTCTCAAAATGATCAGCCCATCATTCTGATTATACTATTTTCAAGGTAAATCGGTGCGTTTACAGACTTCAATCAAAAACTCTACATGGCTCAAACCAACCTGAATCGATTGAATGTTTTAGTCTGACCATATTCAACCTTTTATCGAACTAATTCAATTTCTAATAATATTCCATGCTGGAAAAGATAATGATTAACTAGTTCACTAGTTACTAGCCGGTCCTAAGCACGGGTAAAGAGAAAAGATTGGGCGTAAGACTAGCAACCCTACCCCAGAAAACAAATCGAATTGCTAAAGAAACTTCAAAGCACAAAGAGAATATAAAAATAAAAACAATATTATTCCTCACTGGAATCGGGGAGACAGAATGACACCGGTTGGTGAAAGCTTTCTGGAAGCTAATTGACCGATGTGTCTTCTCTCGATGAAAGAGTAAGGAAGGATGGCGACATGGAATGTCTGCACCATGTTTGAAACTAGCAAGGCCTCACAGATTGTAAAAGAGATGAGAAGGTATGGCATGGAAGTGCCTGGAATCTGTGAAAGCTGATGGAATGGAAGTGGTCTCTCCAAACTATCAACTGGAGAGTCAATAATCTACTCTGATATTATCACCTACACGACAACCACGAGCACACTGAGTTGTGGAGTGGCTATCATGATGTCGCCTCGAAGGCTCACTCTCATGCAGTGGGAAGCAGTCTCCTCCTTCAGGATCAGGATCAGGATCATGACAGCAAGATGGATTCAGCTGAAGAGGAAGGAAAGTCACAACCATATAATGCTATGCTATGTACCTGCAAATGATGCAGGTGATGAGAAGAAGGAGGGAGTCTATAGACAAGTGCAATGAGTACTAGAGAAGACTGCACCCCAGTTGGTGACATCGAAATTGTAATGGGTGGGGTGACATGAATGTGAAACTGTGAGTGGACAACATGGTAAGATAATTCATCATGGGTGGAGGGGCACTAGGTGAAATGAATGAGAATGGGGAACTGTTTGCATACTTCTGGGCATTTAATGAGCTAGTGATTGGTGGCAGTGTGTACAAACATAAGGATATTCACAAAGCGACATGGATTTCACCAGACACCAAGACACACTAAAAATCAGATTGACTTCATCTCAATCTCAAGAAAGTGGAGACGCAGTCTTTTGGACACAAGATCAAGAAGAGGAGCAGATGTAGGTTCAGACCACTGTCTAGTGCAAGGAACCTTCCAAATCAAGTTGAAAGCCTTGAAAGAAGTTGGTGATAGACGACGGTTGATATCTCACTCAGACGGTAGTCAAAATGATTATCAATATGATTCCCCCCCTCCCATTCTAATTCACTTACATTTGCGTTGAGATAAGAAGTTCTGATTAGGTAGCCAGTGTGGGTACGATAGCGATAGCAATGTATCACAAATTCACATGATAGTCGGGTAAAACGCTGAATGATTAGGGTGAATTAGAAATCTGGTCAGCAAACAGAACTCGTAGCTAGCTCAGTTGGTAGAGCATAGGGCCGGAGACCCGGTGGTCGTTGATTCGAATCAGGCCGCGGTCTAAATTTTCACTTCACCTTCAATCATCACTGAGTACAAACTAATATATAGGTTTGAAATATAATCAAAATACTAATCAAGTGGTTGGTTGGGAGTTGGTGAACAACAGTCATAGAAATTTTAAGTAAGTCATAAATCCCGGTGGGAACAACATCACTCACTGGGAAGCAGGTACATCCAGCTGGCCAGTGAGTCCCAAATAGGACGAAATGCGCACCAAGCTGGATTCCACTGCTAGGCACGATTCATCATTAACATAGTCATAAAGATGTTAAGTTTGAGAAATTAAGAGGCAAATGACCCATAGAGTAACTAAAATAGGAAATATGAATCAGGTAAATGGAGTGGTTTTTGATGATAGTTCAGTGCTAAACACAAATAACAATTACGTAATAATGAGAAAACAAATGAATATTAGTAGAAACAAGAGGAGGGGGTAGGAAGAGGTGGACAAAGTAACACTAGTAGTTACATCATATTGTGACGGCCATGGTAATGAAAGTGGTCGGACAAACTTCGTTGGAATACAAAGGTTAGGTCTGTTTGCTTGTAAAGGTGGGCTACAATCGTCTCTGCTATGTGCAGTAGGCGAATGCGTAATCCATGCGATAAATTGATTGGGATGTAATAAATAATTTTGAAAGCTTTTCTAGTATCCACATAATGTGCCGTGTGAACCAAGTGTACAAGTATGGAGCTATTTATTGTTCTAATTTATCCCTTGGTCAACTATGATGGGTGGTGCTCAAAAATTCAACGATGGTCCTGCCTCATTGTTCACCTAATGTAACTAGCTCCAGAGGAACAGTTGATTTGATAAATGCACATGGAATTTGCAAAATAAGGCAGTTTGTCTTTATTTCTTGCATCTAGAATAGAGAGGTTGTGGAAGATGCAACATAATTTAGTGGCTGGGAATGCTTTCTGCAAGACTCTTTTTATGCCTTTTGTGATGATCTCACTGACAATGTCAGTCTTAAATTTCAGCTTCAAGAAGCTTTTCTTCTTAGGAACTGTTGGCGTTCTTGTCTTAACCCTCGTGATATTTATAAGCTTAGTTAAAAATTTGGCGGAATGGTGGCGCAATGGCCCTAAGCACTGGCGGTTAGTGATCATCATCATCATCATTATCAACATAAGACCAGGCATTACTGCGTAACACTCCGAGTTGCCACACCTCATATCAGCACATCAAGTAAAAAGGTAGTGAGGTGAAGGATGAAGATAAGTGAATGCAGTCAAAAGAAATATAAAGTACGAGAAGAAAGGAAAGAGGAGTGACAAAATGGTGAGATTCGGTGTAGCGTTGTTAAGATGAGGATAATGTGTGTGGGGGATACATCTGCGCCACTGACTTCGGTTCTCAGCCATGTCATCATCTAGAGTCGGTCTCCAACCACTGGTTCCTCTTGTCCCGTGGACCCCAACCATTTAGTCTGCATTGCCCCACATGGCTTAAACCAACAGTCAGAGACTTCATACATTGGTGCTATGTTTTAGTCTGGCCACCTCAGGCCTTTTTCCAGCCAACATTGTGTGACGAGGCAATCGGTGACTAGGCATACGTAGTACGTGTCACAGCCAACCATCTCAGTCGATGAAGGTTCACAACCTCGTCAACTGACTTACCTCTTCTCCCTAAAACTCTACACCTAACTTCTGCATTACTCACATGGTGACACCACGGAATACGTCCTATACTACGAAGGCAACGGTGGTCAAACACCTGAAGCCTTTACATTAATTTGTACATTTTACCAAACAGATCCAAGTTATCTAAACACTAAATAGAAGTACCCGGATATTTTTATCTCATAGAACTAAATTAGTTCAGATCACTTTCATCTAACTGACTGACTAACTAGCTAGTTAGATAACTGACAAAATTTATGGATCAACCTGAATGATTTCTAACTACTCGAGTTGTTCAACAGTATTAGTAGTAGTATATTTCATTAGTTCATAACATTTTTGTGTCATGGCTAACAATTTTGAAGGCGAAAGGGTGGGGGTAGTTTCCAACAGAAACCTTGTTGACACAATCTTCTCTGAAGCACCAATTGATTAACTACTCAGTTGATGAGAAATGTCAATTTGGATCGTACTATTAATTGATATGCTTGTAATTCTCGATTGTTTTACTGAGTAGAATTGTTTGACCTCTGTTGACATATAGGCTCCTATGCGGAAGCCTTGATATTGCCTGAATGTTAGTTATAGTAATTTGGTTGGTTGTGGCTAGCAGGGACTTGTCAGCTAGCCTAGTGCATAACGCCTTGGCGTTTGAAGCGCTGGTTAAGAAGTTAGTCTCAGTGGGAATAACATCAATCACTACGGTACAGGTACATCCAGCTGATGATTCGTTAATAGGATGAAACGCGCGTCCTGGATCCCTCTACTGGTCACAACCAACCAAATTACCATTTGTTTGTTACTATTATTAGTATTTTGTGTCAAATTTATCGACTTTGAAAAGGAATTCGACAGCGTCGACTGACAGGCAATTTGGCATCTGCTTCAACACCATGGAGTGCTACAAATCTTTATCAATCTCATTCAACAACTATATGAAGAAGCCACAAGCCAAGTAATTCACAACGGAAAACTCAGTGATGCCTTTGTGAAGTGAAGACAGGAGTAAAACAAGGCTGTCTACTATCATTCATGATCTTCCTGATTGTGGTCGACTGGATCATGCAACAAACTGTGAGGAATGAGAAGATGGGCATAAGCTGTTTAACAGATGAAAAGACCCTATAAAACTTGAATTTCGCCAACGATGATGATTTATGTCTAATATCGCACAAACTCGAAGATCTACAGGCAAAAACTAACAAGTTGACAGAAGAGGCAGGGCTGAGAAAACGGGACTTCAAGTGAACGTAGAAAAGACAGAGGTGATGGTGATACCCAACCAACCAACAACAAGCTCTAATCACCATCAACGGGAGGCACTTAAAGGAAGTAATCTCTTCCACCTATCTAGGCAGCACCATTTGAACTACAGGCAACACAGGCACAGACGAGGACGTCAAAGCCAGCCAGGATAGGGAAAGACAGCAAGACAGGCGTTCATTAACCTGAAACCATGGTGGAGATCTTCTGAACTCAGCATAAAACGTGAACAGCATTCGAGTTTTCAACACCAGTTCAGTCAAGTCACTGCTTCTGTATGCCTCAAAGACTTGGCGTCTTACGGAAAGCATTTCCAACAAACTACAGACATTCATCAACAACTGCCACATACACTAACTCGATACTGAAGATCAGATGGATGGCCAGAAATAATAAGCAACAAAGAACTCTGGCCTGGTGAAGAACCAATGAAGCAACAATCTATCGCTCAACAAATATACACTGGAATGAAGTGGAGATGAATCAGGCATGCACTGAGAAGATCATTAGGGGACTCGATTGGAACCCATATGGAAAACGGCGAGTGAAGCTGATATGGAGGAGATGGTGTGTGAGGAAGTAATGAGAGTTCAAAAGATTACATAGAACAGAATGAAAGAGGGAAACGTGTTACTGAATCTCTATATTCCACTAGGAAACCAATAGACAAATTATAGAGAGAATAAGTGATAGTCAATCAATCATACTTATTACCTTGATGAATTCAATGAATAATTTCTTACAGAAATATCTTCAGGTTCTTGAATAATTTCATATCTTTTCATATCTGATTTATTTCTACTTGTTAAATGATCTAATATAGATGATTGGGTAATATTCATTGTCTTATTTTCATTGATAACAGATGTTAATGGTTCATTGAAATGATAATGAGGTATTTCATCATTTTCATCAGTATCCTGAGAAGTATTCGATGATGAATATCTATCTGTATATCTATTTAATCGACTAACTGGACGTGGTAGAATTCTACTAGGATTACGATGTTCAGGCATATTTATTCGATGAATAATACTAGTTGATGGTTGACTATGTCGATTATTTTGATTAACTTTAAATGATGATGAAGAAATTGGTTTAGTATCAGGGTGATAAAATTCTTGACATCTAGGTGATTTAACCAATGATTTTGAATGAGATGTATGTAGATGATAATAATCTTCATTATTAATATTATCTGATAATGTTTCATGTTCATCAATATTTTCTTCAATAAAATAATGTTTAGTTTTTGGAAATGATTTTCTACGATGTTTTAATCTATATTCATTAGTATCATTTATAATCCAACGACCATTATGTGAACGACGATTTGAATATCTAAACAGGTAAAATGAATAAATAAATATATTTTTTTTCACAGAAATAAACATTTTTATTTCGATATAGTATTCAATATAAATTGTCATAAGTTGGAGAATCATTAAAAAATCTGAAAGCACTGGATAGGTGTTTCGTCCCAGAATAGGATTCTTCAGCAGTACGCACTGATAAGAAGTTGAAAAAGTCCGAGAAAAATGATAATCTAAAGATAAAGGTTAGTAGATATATTCAAGGTTTAAGAGATGTTAAAGAGTGAAATTATCTGCATCATTTATTATCAACAGTCCTCAACCTCAGGTAGTCTACACCTCCTTCTTATTACTATTATTAGTCCTTTGGGTTCCTAGTGGAACATAGGGCTTCAGTAGCACGTCTCCAGTGACCTCTGTTCTCTGAGATCTTTTGAACCTAGTTCCACGACAGCCCACAAGCTCTCATTTCCTCTTCGCACGACCTCCTCCATGCCACCCTCGGACGTCCAACTCGTCGCTTCCCATGGGGATTCCACTCAATGGCCTGGCCTGACGCGTGATGTCCCCAGTCGGCCTTCTCAGTGCATGCCCAATCCATCTCCACTTCCTCCTGCATATTTGTTTAGGGATAGGTTCTTGGTTGGTTCGTTCCCAGAGCTCCTTGTTGCTTATTCTTTCTGGCAATCCATCTGATCTTCAGTAGCGAGCGTAAGCAGTTATTGATGAATGTCTGTAGTTTATTGGAAATCCCTTTCGTAACGCTCCAAGTCTCTGAGCCATACAGAAGCACTGACTTGACTGGATTGGTGTTGAAAGTCCGAATATTGTTCCACATGCTGAGTGCAGAAGATCTCCACACTGGTTTCAGGCTAATGAAGGCCTGTCTTGCTTTTCCGACTCTGGCTTTGACGTCCTCGTCCGTCCCGCCACCTGTAGTTGAAACAGTGCTTCCTAGATAGGTGAAGGAGATTACTTCCTTTAAGTTTCTCCCGTTGACGGTGATTAGAGTTTGTTGTTGTTGTTGATGGTGGTGGTGCGGTATCTTCATCACCTCTGTCTTCTCTATATTCACTTGAAGTCCCGTCTTCGCTGCCTCGTCTCTTCTGTCAACTTGTTAGTTTTTGCCTGTAGATCTTCAAGTTTATGTGACATCAGGCACAAGTCATCGTTGGCGAAATCCAAGTCTTCTGGGTTCTTTTCCGCAGTCCAGCGTATCCCCCTCTTCTCGCTCCTCACTGTTTGCTGCATGATCCAGTCGACCACAATCAGGAATATCATGGGGGATAGTAGGCAACCTTGTTTCACTCCTGTCTTCACTTCAAAAGCATCACTGAGCTTTCCATTGTGAGTCACTTGGCATGTGGCATCTTCATATAGTTGTTGAATGAGGCGGATAAAGGTTTGCGGTACTCCGTAATAATGAAGCAGTTTCCAAATTACTTCTCGGTCGATGCTGTCAAAGGCCTTCTCAAAGTCGATGAAGTTGAGGTAGAGAGCTGATTGCCATTCTATGCTCTGTTCTATGATAATGCGAAGCGTTGCAATTTGGTCCGTGCACGATTTGTACTTCCTGAAGCCAAATCATGCACGGACCAAATTGCACCTCCTTACAAAGATGATAATAACAGCTGGGAATTGAACTTTTTCCAGGATTATACATCAAGGTAGATAGGCATGCGTAGTACAAAGTCACTGAAGGTTCACCTCATCCAATGACTAGCTTTCTTTACCTGGTACTCTTCGCTTGAACTCTTGAATATGATATTAATCAAAATGATTCAACTATGTTTGTCACAAGAAGACTTATCTCTCAGTGATTTACATAAATTACTTACCTCCATCCTGAACAACATTTAGCAACAAACCATCATGTTCAGGTGGTTTACGTAAGAAGAAAACATGCAACGACCTAACAGGCTCATGTGTACAGAAAGCTGGAATTACAACAGTAAAGACCTATCATCTCACAATAAGAGTTGAACATAAGCCTTAGTCATATGAGACAAGATTCATTTTAGCATAAAATCACCTTTACAGAGTATTCACAGCTAATAACTATCAACAGACAATATAAATTTGGACAATTACTTCCACCTACAAGAAACAATCACTCTAGCATATTTCATAGATACCTGACATACTATCAGCTGATCACCTCACTAATTCTCTTTCAATATGGCAAACAAAAAAACCAAATCCCTGTTAAATATCGTATCCAAACTAAAGAAGGATCCATTACCCGATGAAGAAGAAAAAAGTGTATCTCAGAAGTAAGTTATAAAGACTACCAACATCAAAATGTTGACTAATCCAGACATCCAATATCCCAAAGAATTTATAAGCACCAACAAGCTGGTTGCCCACCAATTGGAAGAAGGGCTATCTTGTCAAACTCTCAAAGAAAGGAGACCTAAGTCTTTACAAGAACTGGCGAGGAATCATGCTCCAACTCTTTTCACCACGACCAAAATATTAAGCCACATCATCTGGATTCAAAATTATGACCGAAACAGGCTGGCTGAATTTAGGAAAAACAAATTATATGGGTATCAAATCCCAACGTAACGCTACACATCATCATCAATGAATAGAGCGCATGATCACAGTAAACTCTCCACCTCAACTTCATCGACTTTGAAAAAGCTTTCGATCGAAGCGTCAACCGAGAAGTAAATTGCCAGCTGCTGCTTCAACACTACACAGTCAGTGCCACAAACCTCCATCTAACACATTCAACACCAGCTATATGCTATATGACGATGCTACATGTCAGGTGATTCTCAATGGAAAGCTGAGTGATACCTTCGAAGTGAAGTGAAGACAGGTTGATAGGTAAGACAGGATTGCAGCCTACATCACGTATAATGATCTTCCTGATTGTGGCCGACTAGACTGGATTGGATTGGATCGTGCAAGAAACAACCGTGAGGAGCTGTGAGAACATAAGCATACGCTGTTTGACTAAAAATAACACCCTAGAAGATTCACATTTCGCAGATGATGGTTTATGTCTAATGTCTCATGTCGCACAAATTCGAAGATCTACAGGTGAACACCAACAACTTGGCAGAAGAGTCAGCGAAGAGACACAAAAGGGAGACGGAACTTTCTTCACCTAAACGAAGAGAAGACAGAGGTGATCAAGATACCCAACCAACCAACAACAACAACAACAACAAGTACCAATCACCATCAGTGGGAGAAATCTAAACGAAGTTATCTCTTTCATCTACCTACCTAATTAGGTAGCATCGTCTCATCCACAGACGGTGTCAAAGGCACAGATGAGGATAACGAAGCCGACCAGGATTGGAAAGACAGAGAGACACACCTCCATTCATCAATCTGAAATGATCAGTGTGGAGATCTGCTGCATTGCACTGCACTGTACTCAGCATAAATCGTGAACAACATCCAGATTTTCAACACTATCGATGTCAGTCAAGTAAATCAGTGCTTCTATGTGATGGTTTAGAGAGTTGGCGCGTCACAAAAAGCACTTCTAACAAAGTATAGACATTCATCAACAGCTGCCACCTACACTCGCTCTATACCGAGGATGGAGATCAGATGGCCGGAAAGAATAACAAGAAACTGTAGCTGGAAACGAACCAGTGAGGCAACAACCTTCCTCCCAACAAATATGCAGAAGAAGAGAGTAGAAATGGATTGGGCATACACTTAGAAGACAGTTTGGAGACACCACGTGTCAAGCTAGGCCATCGATTGGAATCCGAACGGGAAAGGAAGAGTTGGGCATCGGAGGGTAACATGAAGGAGATGAAAATCAATAGATACATGTACCAACCAACTGGAAATTAGTCAAACAAATCAATAACCTGACATTCGATCAACAGCGTACGTCAAACCGAAACACCACTGATAAACATCACCCCTATCCACAATCCAATAACGCTCAAAATTGTCAAATATCCCATGTAAACATCCATTCCTTTCAAAAGTAAATGTTGATAAAGTCCAAGAACAAATCTTAGATCTAGAACATCAAAACACTTGATCAGTGCTTTCATATACTTATAAGTAATATATGCAAATATTCAATGAATAGTCAAGACAAAGTACTATCCCGTCGTTGATTAAACCGAATTGATCGGTCTCTATTGGCATATAGGATTCTGTGCGGATACCTCAATATTACCTGTATTCTTAATTACATAGTAATGATAGATAGTGGCTAGCAGTGGAATCCAGCATTTCGTCCTATTTGGGACTCGTCAGCTGAACATACCTGCCACCCAATAAGAACTGAAGAAAAAGGAGAAACAGAAAAAAATACTTGATGAAGAATATAAACATAACTTACATATGTGGACGATCACCAATATCTGTAACAGTTTCACAGCCTCTTGGACGATGAAATACCATACCTGTTCCACGTACATGATATGGATTTATAGGCATAATAGTATTATGCTGACAATCATAATTATCCATTTTTACATCAAACCAATAAGGATGATATTGATTTGTAGTTACAGTTGTTGGACACATAGTAGTAGTAGTAGTAGTATGATTTACATGAGGATTTAGTAGATATGATGGTTTCATTTCATTACCGCCAACTGGAGTGAATTCAATCAGACTAGAATATAATGGTCGTATATTTCTGGGTGTTTAAAAAAGAAAAACACAGTAGGAATGTAATAACGATAAGCTTGACTACATTCTTAGAAATGTTACACTCTGAAGGAGTTGTATTACTTAATAGACAAGGTTATGGACAGACAATCTATCGTTCATATTACTACCAGCCAACTGTATAACTTTGAGACACGGTTTATTTATCTCCAATCTTTTCGTCTTCATTGTGATGATAAGGATAGTAGAATTCTCCAGATATCTGGAACAAGAGTAGAATCATTCCTGTTACTGTATGTATTTCGTTTTCATTCGATAAACATACATTCGATTATCAGTCTTTCTCTCCCTCCATCCAACTAAGTTCGTTTTGAATACTATCACTTTATCCCTACCCTATTGTGTGCAATTCTATGCTTAGCTATATTATTATTTCATTTCCATTGGGTTCTCAGTGGAATATAGGGCTTCAGTAGCACACCTCTGTAGCATCCTGTTCTCTGAAGCGTTTTGAACTTGGCTCCACAACTGCCACAAGCTTACATTTCTTCCTCACACCATCTCTTCCATGTCACCCTCGGACGACCAACTCATCATTTCCCCTTTGGATTCCACTCGACGGTCTGGCCTGGCACGTGATGTCCCCAGTCGGTCTTCTCATTGTATACCCGATCCAATTCATCTACACTCTCTTCTCCTGAATATTTGTTGGGCAATAGGTTGTGTTGTTAGTTCGTTCCCAGAGTCAGTTCCTTGTTGCATATTATTTCTGTCCATCTGATCTCCATATTCAGTGTCTAGCGAGTGTACGCAGCAGCTGTTCATGTATGTCTACAGTTTGTTGGAAATGCTTTTCTTGACTCACCAACTCTCTGAACCATCACACAGAAGCATCGACTTGACTGATATTGGTAGTGTTGAAAATCTGGATGTTGTTCACGATTTATGCTGAGTACTGTGCAATGCAGTGCAGTAGATCTCCACTCTGATTATTTCAGATTGATGAATTGAGGCCTGTCTTGCTTTTCTGATCATGGCTTTGACATCATCATCTGTGCCTATGACGCCACCTGTGATTGACACGATGCTGCCTACCAGGTAGGTGAACGAGACATCTTTCTTTTAGGTTTCTCCCGTTGATGGTGATTGGTGATTGTAGCTGTTGGTTGGGTATTTTAATCACCTCTTTCTTCTTTACGTTCACCTGAATGAAGTCCCGTTTTCCTTCGCTGACTCTTCTGAAAACCTGTTGGTTTTTATCTAAACATCTTCGAGTTTGTGCGACAAGATATTAGACACAAATCCTCATCGGCAAAATCCAAATCTTCTAGGGTATTTTCATCAATCAAACAGCGTGTACCCATCTTCTCACAGTTTGTCACATGATGCAGTCCAGTCCAATCCAATCGACCACAATCAGGAAGATCATCGGTTATAGTGAACAACTTTGTCTTGTCTTACTCGTGTCTCCACTTCAAAGGAATCAAGAAGCTTTCCATTGTGAATTCAATTGACATGTAGCATCCTCATATAGCAAATAGCTTCTGTTGAATGTGTTAGATGAAAGTTTGTCTCACTGACTGTGTAGTGTTGAAGCACCAGCTGCCTGACAAGTTACTTCTCGATCGACGTCTTCATCGAAGTCAATTTCAAAATCGATGAAGTATTCAATAAATGCATGATCATTGAATATTTATTTCATAATTATGTATAATGGTTGAATATGGTAAAGGTATAAGCTTGATTATCACCTGAAAGTAGAGATCATTTTTCAGTCGACTCTTTTCTTTCAAAGAAAATTACATATTCAACGAAATCGATCAATTGATGATCAGTTCATTGAAGTAGAATTGATTGTATACATCCATTGTAAAGTCTTTTTACCATGAAAAGTAAATCTATCCGTTAGCATAGTATAAAATGATCAGTCATCAAGATAATCTTGTAACTAGTTGGTTTTGAAGAATAATTCACACACACAAACACATATTACATAACAGTAGTGCATTAGATGTGATGTAACACGGACTGACTACCACTCATGTTACAAAGTATTAATTAAACAAGTTGTGTATACAAATATTTCTTCAATCTAATATGTAAAATCATAAATGTCAGGAAGTTAGAAACCCAAGTGTACAGGAAGCCAACACATACTGACCAAATCCTCAAAGTACAACAACCGAACAACACACAAAATCAGTTGAGTGCAGACTCTATTCAAAAGAGTGAGAACACACTGCAACACAACAACTTCATGGAGAAATGAAGAAAATTACTCAATGTCCACCCCCTAAAGAAGAACAGCTACCCACCAAACGTCATCAGAACATCCCTATCCCCTGCATCACCAACTACAAAGTCATCGACAGAAATCAACAAACGCATCGTCCTACCATACATAAAGAATATATCACCACAAATCATGACAAGATTTCTGAGACCACTTGGAATTGGTGTGGCCATTCATAAATCAACATGAACCAGCTCCCTCCAAACACTATTATACAGACCATGGGATGCGACAACAATCAGAGAAGACAAAGAGAATATCATTTACAAAATCAACTGCAACAACTGTAGTCAACACTACATTCACTGGACAAAGTGATCGACCACCTTCGCCTTCGTCTACATGAACACTAGTTGGCTATTAAACGTCACAACATGTTGTCACTCATTTCAATGCACAAGGATAACAATTATGGACATAAATTCAATCTCGACAATGTAGAAATCCTGGACAGATCAGTCAGTCAGTCAGTCAGTCAGTTAGTCAGCAATCAACAGATGTATAGACATAGACTCAATCTATCAAGGAATAAGAAAAATGAAAAACGGCAGTAAGGTGAGAGGTGAATCAGAGGAACAGTCATCAGAAAACTCTATGCAGTCAGTCAATGACACAACAATCAAAGGAAACAACCAATCACAGACCACATCGTCAGAGTAAGCCACTAAATCACTAAATCATGGAGAGATATTGACAGGTAGCTCACAATTCATACTGAAGTTAGTGGTGATGATGATGTCACTGTCTAGAAAGACGCGATGAAAGCATCTCGACGATTAAACAACTCAACTGAGAGAACACAATACAACGAAGACAGTACCACTTACATTCTTTTAATCCTATCGTTGTCTTTTTCTCTTTCAATAGACGACAAATAAATGAGAAAAACACAAATGTTTGTTCACCACGTTCATCATTGGTGAATAAATCAAATGTATTTCATAATTCTCATGAACTACAAACGAAATCAAGTAATAATCAGTCAATTTCTCAGCGGTATAATCATGATGGTAGAAAATCAGTACATACTATCGATAATAATCCCAATACTATTCGATATTATCATGATATAAATGGATATGTTCATGAACAAGAAGACGATGAAGAAGGAGAAGACAGTACAAATTGTAGAAAAGATTCAGATGGAGAAGAAGGACAAGAAGATTATATGGAAACATTCAATGTGAATCAATATACTCCTGCTACTAGAACTATTAGTACTACTACTACTTCTACTACTTCTACTACTGCTACTACTACTACTACTACCACTACTTCTACTACGGATACATCATTCTGTTCATCATCAATGTATTGTCCAGAGGAGAGTCAAACACCTAGTCTACTAAAAAATTCTGATATAAATTCAGAATTATGTAATGAATCATTGTGTACATCTATAAATGATTTCAAATTGCCACCAACACCAAATTCACCAATATTGAATGATCATCAAGGCAATGCTACTGTATCGGAATGTAATGAAGAAGGTAGCTTTGATGTACGTATAAGTTTCTTTCTTTTTATATACATAAACATTTTATCATTTGACTATCTAAGATATTGGGTGATGATTGAAGGTGAGATGAAAATTTGAATCACTGCCCCGGGTTCGAACTAGCGACCATCGGGTTTCGGGCACAATGCTTGCTTCGACAAGTCATTTCTGAAGTTCCAATGAGAATTTGTCACCAGTGGAGTCAATGAAATTTGAACATAAGGACAGTTACTCAACGACGATGTAGGTAGCACTATATCGTGAACTAATAGAAGTAGAAAACATGGACTAGTGGATTCCGCAAAACCCAGTGGCTTAATGGTTACGTGCAGGTCACGGAACCTCAAGATCGCAGGTTCGACCCCTGTAGGGTGGGGAGTTATGGGTGAGCATTGCTAAGGAGTAGGATACTGAGATGAAGTTCCACAAGAACTTTTTCATTAGAACTATAAATTAATTGAAGCTACGGGCGAAACATTATTCTCATCATTTCCTGTATATGATTTTAACGTATACATCTTCTGTCTGACTGTGTTTAAAAACACTGTTATCGAATGTTATGAAAGAAGGTAATTCAGTAAGTCTCTCGCGATCGATAGCTGCTATTTTGACATGGTCATCGGGCTTGCATATCACAATGACCCAACGAGCTACGCTGGTGGAACGCCTGTTCCCTCGAGGTCCTACTATACCAGAAAGGTCTCTTGGATAGTGGTTAGACGAAGAGCAGTCACCGTTGTGGTGTAAATTGCTACACTATGATGGGGGGTCTGAAGGCGAAGTCGTACTGCTCCTAGCTGGATGGGGTTCTAACAGCAGTAAGGTGTTTCCCTTGGATGACCAGCAGCGCCATGTGGATGCCGCCTTCTCAGTAAAAGGGGGGTTAGAAAAGGTCGGCCCCCAAAATAACACACTCCACCATGCCCACAGTCTGCCAGTCCGGCGGTGTTGGTCCATTCGTCATTTCCTTTCGACTATCCGGCCCCAAAAATACAAAGGTTCAAAATAATCATACTCAAAAGTCTGCATGTGACAGGCCTCCAGCAAATGTCCAATGGGCTCTGCGGTCACACAAATCTCTTTTAGGTACCTTAAGAAGAAATAGCCTTCCATGATGTGACCGGTTGGGAAGTGTTAACCGCCCTCACAGCTCAATCAACACTCAAGTTTTCTCAGACTGCTATCCATCTACGCCATTATTACCTTCTAATCTTCCTTCATGTATCGATGTCAATGGCGCAGATGTATCCCCACTTATACATTATCCTCATCTTAACGACGCTATATCGAATCTCAACAGTTTCTTATTCTTCCTTTCTTTCTTCTCGTGCTTTATATTTCTTTTGACTGAATTTTCTTATCTTCATCTTTCATCTCAATACCTTTTTACTTGATGTAATGATATGAGCTATGGTAACTCAAACCGTTACGCAGTAATGCCTGGTCCTATTCATGATGATGATGATGATACTGGGATGAAAACAAAAAGATACAACTCACCGATTAACTCTAACATTCTCTGGTTGATAATCACTTGATACAGGTTGAATAGACTCAGTTAGACGTACTGGATACTTAGAATCTGATAGAAGAGTAGGTCTAAAGTAAAGAGATTTAAAAAATACATTCAGGTAGGATATAAAAATGGTTGATAATTCTACACTTCCGTGTATCATTCATTATGAAACGACATTAAAACGGTGAAAAATTGTAAACTTGAAGTTTCATAGTTGTACAAAACAACTATTTATCTCTCTTATGTTTTTGATGATTTTTCATCGAATATCACATTCCATGATGAATACTCATGTCGAGATCAATAAATCACCACACACTATCAATATAACATGAAGGTTAGAACAGTCAGGTTATACTACTGATAATGTCATTATATTGTTATTATTTATCTATTGGATTCCTAGTGGAATGATAAAGCTTCAGTAGTACATCACCATTTCACTCTCTTCTCTACAATCTTTGAATCTATTTCTACGAATGCTTAGAAGCTTTCATTTCTTCTTCACACCATCTCCTCTATGTAACCCTCACCTCGGACACCCAACCCATCGTTATCCACTCAATGTCCAGTCGATGACCTGGTCTGACGCGTCATGTCCCTAATCGATCTTCTCAGTTTATGCTCAATCCAATAGAATCCATATCCACTTCCTTCTCATGCATATTTATTGGGCGATGGGGTCTTGCTTGATTCGTTGCCAGAGTGAGTTCCTCGTAGCTTATTTTTTTCTCGCCATCTGATCTTCATTATCGAGCGTAGGCAGCTGCTGACTAATGTCTATAATTTGTTAGAAGTGCTTTTTGTGACGCGCCAACTCTCTAAAACATCACATAGAAGCACTGACTTACTTGACTGACATTGATAGTGTTGAAAATCTGGATGTTGTTCACGATTTATGCTGAGTACAGTACAGTGCAGTGCAGTGCAATGCAATGCAGCAGATCTCCACACCGATTATTTCAGATTGATGAATGGAGGTCTATCTTGTTGTCTTTCCAATCCTGGTTGGCTTCGATATCCTCATCTGTGCCTTTGACACCGTCTATGGATGAGACGATGCTACCTAATTAGGTAGGTAGATGAAAGAGATAACTTCGTTTAGATTTCTCCCACTGATGATGATTGGTGCTTGTTGTTGTTATTGTTGGTTAGGTATCTTGATCACCTCTATCTTCTCTTCGTTTAGGTGAAGAAAGTTCTGTCTCCCTTTTCTGTCTCTTCGCTGACTCTTCTGCCAAGTTGTTGGTGTTCACCTGTAGATCTTCGAGTTTGTGCGACAAGACATTAAACATAAGTCATAATCGGCGAAATGCATATCGTCTAGGGTGTTTTCATCGGTCAAATAGAGTATACCCTTCTTCTCCCGCAGCGTTGAAGCATTTGCTCAATTACTTCCCGGTGGTCGCTTCGATCGAAGGCCTTTTGAAAGTCAACGAAATTGAGGTTCAAGTACAGTAGACTGTCATTCCATGCTCTGTTCTATGGTGATGCGTAGTTTAGCTTTGCAATTTGATCCACACATGATTTGTTCCTCCTGAAGCCAGCCAGCCTGTTTCGGTCGTAATTTTGAATCCAGGGCACTTTTTAGTCTTTTGAGGGAGTTGTGGAGATTTGGAAATATTTCAAGTTGGTATTCACCGTAGACTGACTGACATCAGTTGGAGGAAGAAAGGAAACCTGGGAGCACTGGACAGCTGTTTCACCCACGTACGGGACTCCTCAGCAGTGCGAACCCACGACCATACCCGCCAGGGGTCGAATTCACGACCTTCAGGTCCCGTGGCCAGCACGTTACCATTGAGCTAGCCACTGGGTCAACGGAATCCAGTGGTCCATATTTCCAACTTCTGTTAGCTCACGATATAGCGCAACCGCCACCCAATTTCATCTTTGAGTAACTGTCCTCACGACCATCAGGCTTTGACTACACCGGTCACGACTTTTTAGTCTCTCCAGAATCACGAGGTTTAGTATTTTGCTTTGGGTAGACAGCAACATGATTTCACGCCACTTCTTGTTCTTGCAAAGACTTTGATCTTCCTTGTTTGGGAGTTTGACAAAATAGTCCTTCTTCCCATTGACATTTACCTTTCCTTCCTTCCAAATCTTCTGCAGTTGTGGTGTGAGCATCTTCGCTGTCGTCTGTGCATCTGTTTTCAGTGCTTCTGGAGGAATTCCATCCAATCCTACTGCTTTCCTGGCTTTCTGCAAATTTACAGCACTCAAAACTTCTGCTTTTGTTGGAGGGCTTGTGGACCGGAGCATTTCTCAACCTCAATAATCACAATAGGCATCCATTCTCATAATCAGGTGAGAAGTAGATCAATCAGAAAATGCTAACCATTGTTTTTCACCTCACTATCTACTAAGTGAATGATTAAATGTCTTAAAGACAAGATGTAAGGGATTTGCACCTATTACCAAACGACGCGGATAAACGCGCATTGTAGAATGATATCCGACTAAGCGAAAGTAGCCATTCAGTGTCATTGGTTTACTTAGAAGGAACTTTCTTCAGGTCTTATTAGTTTCAGGTGGATCCGTCGCCTATCGATTTAGGTAGTACCCAATTTCCAACCAGTGGAACATGTATACGAACCTCCTCAACCAGGTAAAGGGGCTGGAGTAGGCCAGGTAATCTCCTTGGTTTTTACAAAACAGGTTTAAAAGATGTCAGTGAGTAAATACATCTGTGCCATTTCCATCGATTTTCAACCATATCATCAAGAGTCCTCAACCAATGATTCCTATCATCTCAGGGATTGCAGTCAGGCATCAGTCTACACTTTCTCACACTGCTCAGACTAACAGTCAGACACTTAATTGACTGGTCCCACATCACAGTGTGACTATTCTGAACCATCTTCCAACATAATTCAATTTCCCCCTAGCATGGCACGTTCAGCTAGGCAGTGGCTCAGTACGTGAAGAACACTTTCAAGTCAACAGAGTCGCTGAAGGTTTACAACCTCACCGACTGACTTACCTTTCTTGCCTAGTATATATATATATATATATATATATATATATATATATATATATATATATATATATATATATATATATATATAAGTGACCTATGGGGTATATCTGCGAACATAAGATCAGTATAAGAACAATTTAACTATGGTAGAATTTAATTCCATGCTAGACAGATCCTTTTATTTGACTGAAATAACACACAGTGACTTATACAGTACTTCCAGTTCACTCAATGATATTTTGAGTACAAATTATCATTGTTCATAATCATAACGAATATAATCACGCCACTTATAGTCCTGTCACCTAAGATCCTTGTTTCTATTGGTAGTAAAACTTCTCATATGTCTGGTACATACGTGTTGAGTGTAGATTCGATGAACAAAGATTCAGTAATCAACTCTCCTCCCACTTAATTATATTGGACTTACAGTACACTACGGTACAGTGGTTTTATTCCACACACTTTATTGTGTGGTTGCGTGTTGTTGTATGCAATGCGATAGACGAGTTTCCTTCTAGATTACTGGTCTTGTTCAGGAATGTCATTCTATAGTTGGCTACATTCCTGTTCCGCTAATCTAACTGATGCCGACCCAGTTGGGCTAGATTCACCTATGTACTTGACCTTACTCACAGACATTACATGGAATTCGATAGATTAGACTGTTTTGCTTAATTTCATCTATCGGATCCTCTAGTCAGTCGATAAAGCTTATCTCTGAATGAGTCTGTAGGTTTCAATGCCAACCTGATTTCAGATTTGTTGAGGATCCTACGCAAAGTTTCTCATGTACCTTCCTGAGAGAGTAACTCATTGAAGCTTGTGAACTCCTTTCTGTTAGCTTTTCGTTTGTTGTGTGTTCGTACAAATTTCTTAATAAACAGTAGAGGATAATAATTAACTATCAGCGTTTCTTTTACATGTTTCAAGTGCTTGGATGAGATGACTTGAAGTGTAGACACCTGTAGGAATGTGTCGGTTTTCTGTACACAGTAGTATCCAAACCACCGATGTGTGCCCTTCGTTTATTCCTGCAATCCAGCATATGAAGTTCTCCATGTTCATATTCTATCTCCTCTTAAGTGAATTAGATTGCACCTACTACTTAGTTGATGTTATGTGTCAGTAAATTGTCGATATGTTCCGATTTCAGCAGAGTAGTAAATGTGTCATGGACATATCACCATCATATCTCAGGTACAGGATTAAACGATGGTCATGTCATGTTTTCTCAATTATCCATAAATATTTCTGCTACGGTTGAGGATATTGGTGACCTGATTGCTACTCCTTCTGTTTGTTTGGACATATTGTCCTGAAACTGGAGGACTGTGGAGATCAGGTACAGCTGTACGCCTAATATGATCTCATCCACCGATATCTTAGTTCTATGAGAAAGTTGTGAGTCCGAGATAAGCTTTGTTGGTTGGCTTAAGGATCCGATAGATGCGATTCAGCAAAACAGTCTAGTCTATCAAATTCCATGTAATGTCTGTGAGTCAGGTCCAGTGCATGGGTGAAACTAGCCCGATTGGTGGGGATCAGTTAGAATAGTGGAACATGCGAATTTAGCTAAATATAGAATGACAGACCTGAATAGAACCAATAATCTTGAAAAGAATCTTGACTGTTGCATTGCATGGATTAACAATACACATTCAAAGAATAATTAGGTGGAGAGAGGGGGGAGAAAAAGACGGGAATTGATTATTGAATCTTTGCTCATCGAATTAGTCAACACGCAGCACATATAATAGGAATTATGCAACATCTATACCAGAGATATACAAACTTTTACTACCAATAGAAACATGAGATGGTTGATACGACTATAAAGGGGTGTGATTACATTGAAGTAAGATTATGCGCAATCATCATTTATGCTTTCAATATCATCAAGTGAATAGATGATAGTATATCAACCAAATAAACAAATCTATGCATAACGTCATTATATCATTCAGTCTGTGGAATAGGGAGTTAATCATATCGGCATGATTACACACAATATGAATGGTTTCTTCAAGTTGTAACTTCAGGAATAATGTTTTAACACTAAAAGAAACTCTTTCGGCTTTCGTGTTTATACTAGTATCATCACTCCTATGAACGAATTCAAAAGTATTCTTCAAAGTATAGATCGGTAGGTAGCTATTTCCTGATAGGTTGAACTAATTTTTCAAGGCGTCAAGTGAATCCATCATATAGGGGGTTCGAAATAATCTATATACGGCTTAAAAGTGCTCCCATTTTGTATATCTTAAAAAGACTATACGTTCCTGGAAAATGTTTAATTAGGGATCTCAACATCTTAGAGAATATCAGACAGACACAAGTGTATTTAAGACATGTCACATCTTGCCTTTATCATATGTCTGAATGAAACTCATTCAGGCAAGGAACTTGCTCAAATCTTTCGATTCAATTTATAAAGATATGAGATTCATGTGTAATCAAACAACGTTAGGATGAAATAAATTTCTAGAATATGAGTATTCAAAGGAATCAAGATGGTTATATTATTATTTGTCCCTCGGGTTCCTAATGGAACATAGGAACTCAGTAACACTTCGCCATTGCACTCTATTCTCTGAACTCTTTTCAACCTGGTTCCACGACTACCCACAAGCTCTCATTTCTTCCTCACACAATCTCCTCCATGTCATTCGTGGATGCACAACTCAACATTTATCATTCGATTTTCAATCAATGGCCTGGCCTGACGCGTGATATACCCAAACCGTCCTCTCAGTGTATGTCCAATCTAATCCATCTCCACTTCCTTCCAATGCATATGTGTTCAGCGATAGGTTCTTGCTTCGAAGGTTCGTTGCCAGGCAGAGTTCCTTCTTGCTTATTATTTCTGGCAATCCATCTGAGCTGAGCTTCACTAATGAGTCAGTGTAGGCAGTTGTTGATGAATGTCTGTAGTTTGTTTCGAATGCGTTTCATAACACGCCAACTCTCTGAGCCATACAGAAGCACTGACTCACTTGACTGAATTGGTGTTGAAAATGAGGATGTTGTTCACGCTTTATGCTGAATGCAGAAGATTTCCACACTGGTTTCAGGTTAATGAACGCCTATCTTACTTTTCCAATCCTGACTTTGACATCCTCATCCGTGGTTCTATACTAAACAGAACTTATCATAAACACATTTCAGCCGGTCATTATATAAGTGGAAACATTAAAATTCATATTGATAATAACTTACTCATTTGTAACAATCGCTGAACCGCTTGTATCTGAAATAAAAATTTATCATATAATAAAATTCAGATTATCTTGACTGAAATTAGCAATGAAGGTAAGATCAGTCAATCGGTTAAGGTATAATTTATACTATTCTAAAGTAATTGGGAACCTTATTTATCCATTTACCAGTTTCACTTTCTATACTGTCTCATGGTCACTGTCAAAACACAAACTTCTATAAGCGATACGTATCTACAAGCTTCACAGAAACCTGTCGTTACACTGTGATCAGGATGACTCCTTGAAAATTTCCTCATAAAAAACTTATATTATTATTATTATTTGTCCCTTGAGTTCCTCCTAGTGGAACATAGGGCTTCAGTAGTACGTCTCCAGTGCACTCTATTCTCTGCAAACTTTTAAACCTCGCTCTATGACTGCACACAAGCTCTCATTTCTTTCTCACACCATCTCCTCCATGTCACCCTCGTCCCAGATGCCCAACTTGTCGCTTCCCATCTAGGTTCCACTCAAGGGCCTGGTGATAAAAACCTTCTACTGGCGATTATTACTAATCAATAGATATAATGAAAACCTTGACAGCAACTTGTAGAGCTGATTGGCAGTTTCGTTGGTTTCAAATCTTACTTCGATCTGAGTAACTAGACATTATTACTTAAGTACTCATCATAAAACCAGTATGGTACTCATAACCTAATAGATAAGTTACATCAACATCAATGTGAGTTGATAGTATCACAGATCAAGCTATGCATTTAGGAACTTTATACAAACCCATATTGGTAAGTAATAAGCTCTATCTACCTATTATGTAAGAGTTAATGAATACTACCTGTCTACTGGCCAACTAAATTGTTAGTTATTGATATTACACTAGAAAATAACTATAATGATCAGAAGACAAGTTTCTTGAAAAATGAACTATACCATAAATATATCAATGTATTATATCATTACATCTTAAGTGTATAGATAATAATACAATCTATTCTGTGTGTATACACTTACCTAATGAAGAATTAACATAGTATAACGGCTGAACAGTAGATGTTGAAGGGCATACTGTTGTATTGATAACTAATTGATGTGGTTCATTAATTATTCTTTGAGATATTTCATTTCTAGGTTTAGAAAAAAAAGGGGAATAAATAAGTAGTATAGATGAAAATAAACATGTGGAATATGAAGACAGAAAAAAAAAAAGTAGACCAGTGAAAGAGTTAGAGAAAGGAGGAAAATATGACAACTAGTTCAAAGTCTATTTCATGGTAGTTCTCATCAAGGATTGGTATTATTTAAAGAATCATTAGAAACCTGGGGGGGCACTGATCTCATGCTTTATTCTAGCATGACATTCCTAAGCTGAATAGTTAAATCGTTCAACGTGACAAATGAAATTCTCAGGTTTCATTCTTGAAGGTCAGGGTCAAGGATGTGTACCACTGAGAAGTTCTATACTAGGATGAAATAAGCTTTCAGTGTTCCCAATCTATCTTCATCCATTATTATTATTTATTTCTTAAGTTCCTAGTGGAACATAGGGCTTTAGTAACACGTTGCTATTTCACTCTCTTATCTACAGTCATTTCAACCTGGCTCCACGATTGCCCATAACTTTTCATTTCATCCTGACATAATCTCTTCCATATCAACCTCGCTTCGAACGCCTCTAATGGGTGGAATCAAAACAAAACAGAAATCAGAAGAATGGAGAAAATTTGGGTAACTAACTACTGAAAGTAATCTAAAGATGGTGTGTTATTTGGTATTAACAACATTCTCCCATATACATTGGCATTAGTCGAATGATAATCCTTCCACTGATTGAATGATTATTAAATACATTTTTCACAGACATATATCATCTGCATCCAGGTATTCGAAGAGAAAAGATCTGACAAACATAAATACACACTGATTGAAAGGATACATAAAGAAATAGTCTAACCTCCCAATTTGAATACAATGCTTTGTTAAGAAAAAAAACCTCGCCTGATTAACTAGTTCACTAGTTACTAGCCAGTCCTAAGCCCGGGTAAAAAAGGAACATTGGGAGTATGGCTACCAACCCTACCCCGGAAAACAAATCTAACCGCTAAACAAACTTCAGAGCACAAACCAAATATAAAAAATAAAAACAAACTTATTCCACGCTGGAATCGGAGAGGCGAATTGACGCTGGTTGGTGAAAGTCTTCGGGAAGCCAATTGGCCAATGTGTTTTCTCTTCTCTCGATGAAAGCGAAAGTAAACGTGGGGACATGGAATGTCCGCACTGTGTTTCAACTCAGCAATGCAGCCCAGATTGCAAAGGAGATGAGGGGGTATCACGTTGAAGTGACTGGAATTTGCGAAAGCAGATGGAGTGGAAGTGGACTCTCCAAACTGTCAACTGGGGAACCAATAATCTACTCCGGTCACCCAGACGACAACCACAAGCACACTGAGTTTTGGAGTGGCTATCATGATATCCCCAAGATCATTGAAGGCTCATTCTTATACAGTGGAAACCAATCTCCTCCAGCATCGTGACAGCAAGAATCAACTCAAAAGGAAGGAAAGTCACAATCGTACAATACTACGCTGCTCATCTACAAATAATGCAGATCAAGAAAAGAAGGAGGAATTTTACAAACAACTGCAATTAGCACTGGACAAGACCTCAGTTGACGACCTCAAAATTCTAGTGGGTGGAGTTACATGAAAGCGAAACTGGCAGCGGAAAACACTGAAAGAGAACTAACCGTGGATCGAGAAGCGCTCGGCGAAATGAACGAGAATGCAGAATTGTTTGCAGATTTCTGCGCATTCAATGATTTGGTGATTGGAAGCACTATGTTCAAGCACAAGGATATTCACAAAGTGACAAAGACTTCACCAGACACCAGACACACACTAAAAATCAAATCGACTTCATCTCAATCTCAAGAAAGTGGAGACGCAGCCTACTGGACACAAGGTCAACAAGAGGAGCAGATGTAGGTTCACACCACTCATTATCTAGTGCAAGGAACCTAACTTCAAAATCAAGTTGAAAGACTTCAAGGAAGTTGGTGATACACCACAGTTCAAGTTCAACACTCAGAACAGAAACTGAAGGACGAAACTATAAAGCACATCTTCACGGCAGCCATCAAGACAAAATGGGAGATATCGAGCAACATCCCTGAAGAAACCTGTATTGATGAGCATTAGAACTCTTTGAAAGCTATGTGGAAAGAAACCTGCATAACCGTATTAGGAAGGAAGAAGAAAGAAGATAGGAAATGGATCTCGACGGACACATGGAAGCTGATAGAGCAGGAAGAGGAGGATGTTGAAGCAGAAGTTAAACCAGTGCAAGGATGCTCAACGACATGAGGAACTGAGTACAATGTATAAAACACTACACTGGACAAAGAAGTGAAGAAGAGTGCGAGCAAAGACAAAAGACACTTCTACGAAACACTGGCAAGTGAAGCAGAACAGGCTGAGAGCTGGTAGGAGAGACCTGACAACATTGTATCAAATAACCAGGTTACTATTTGGGAAGAGGTCAACGCAGATGAAACCAATAAAAGATGATGACGAAAATTTAACTACGAAAGAAGAGAAACAAAGGAAACAATTGGCCGACCACTTCAAGAAGCTTTTGAGTCGACCATCACCACCTGCACTTCGTCCAGAAATACCACCTACAGCCGCTGAACTACAAATGAACACCAATCCTTCAACAAAAATTGAAATCCTAAACGTCATAAAGCTACTGAAATGCGAGAAGGCAGCAAGACCAGATAGAATCCCACCAAAAAGCACTGAGAACAAAAGCAGCGACAACAGACGACATGCTCACACCACACCACTATTGAGGAAGGTTTGAAAGGAAAGGTAGAGTATCTAGCGATTGGAAGAAGGGATACCTTGTCAAAATACCGAAGAACGGCAACCGATGTCTTTGCAAGAACTGCCACGCAATCATGATCCACACTTCTCCATCCAAAGCAAAATATTATACCACGTCATCCTGGACAGAATAAAGCATGCGCTGCATTCAAAACTACGACCACAACAGGCTGACTGCATTCAACAAGTACAAATCATGTACGGATCAAATTGCAACGCCACTCCACACATCATCAATGAACACAGTATAAAATCGCAGTCAACTCTATACTTCAAATTCATTCACTTTGGAAACGCCTTCGACACAGTCGACCGACAAGTAATTTGGCAGGCAGTTGCTTCAACACTACAGAGTACCACAAACCTCTATCAACCCCATTCAACAGCAGCTATATGAAGAAGCCACAGGCCAAGTGATCCACAATGGAAAGCTCAGTGACGCCTTTCGAGTGAAGTGAAGACAAGAGTAAGACAAGGCTGTCGCCTACCATCACCTATGATATTCATGATTGTGGTCGACTGGATCATACAACAAACAGTGAGGAGCGGGAAGAGGAGGATACGCTGGACCAATGAAAAGACACCAGAAGATTTGGATTTCGCGAATGATGATTTATGTCTAATGTCACATAAACTTGAAGATTTGCAGGCAAAATCCAAACGGTGACAGAAGAGGCAGGGCAGGGTAGAGAAGATGGGACTTCAAGTGAATGTAGAGAAGACAGAAGTGATGATAGCCAACCAACACCACCACCAACAACAAAAAGCTCTAATCACCATCAACGGGGGAACTTAAGGGAAGTAGCATCTTTCACCCATCTAGAAAGCATCGTTTCAACTACAGGCTGCTTCACAGACACAGATGAGGTGTCAAAGTCGGTCAAGATCAAAAACGCAGCAAGACAGGTGTTCATTAACCTGAAACCAGTGTGGAAATCTTCTGCATTCAGCATAAAGCGTGAACAACATCCTCATTTACAACACCAATTCAGTCAAGTGAGTCAGTGCTTCTGTATGGCTCAGAGACTTGGCGTGTTATGAAAGGCATTTCAAACAAACTACAGACATTCATCAACAACTGCTGCTTATGCTGACTCATCACTGAAGCTCAGCTCAGATGGATTGCCAGAAAGAATAAGCAAGAAGGAACTCTGCCTGGCAACGAACCAACGAAGCAAGAACCTATCACTGAACAAATATACACTGGAAGGAAGTGGAGATGGATTAGATTGGACATACACTGAGAGGACGGTTTGGGTATATCACGCGTCAGGCCAGGCCGTTGATTGAAAATCGAATGATAAATGATGAGTTGTGCATCCACGAATGACATGGAGGAGATTGTATGCAGTCGTGGAACCAGGTTGAAAAGACTTCAGAGAATAGAGTGCAATGGCGAAGTGTTACTGAATTCCTATGTTCCACTAGGAACCTAAGCGACATATAATAATCATAAATGTTTTGCCAAGACATCTGTTACCAGTGTGAATACAATCAAACAACTTCGACTTCTGGAAAGTGATATCTTCATTTGCATCCTGTAAAGATTTACAACAGTCATTCTGGTGCTTTTAATGGATATAATTTGAACTAGGCAATACACGACTAAGGTAGACACGGTAAATCTGTATCAAGAAGCCAAGATGAATCAGCCCTTGTTTGAAACAAACAAGTCAACACTTCTAACTACTTACTATATTCATTTAAATCTGGACTCATTATTTGCCAGCAATTATATCTTCACATTGAAAATATCATCTGTGTAATTTCCAAGAATTCTATTATACACTGACATCATGACTTATACTCACTTATACTGATGATATTGATGTAAGTATACTACTTATATCCCATAGAGATAACTGAGTATTTTCTTTTCACAAATAATCAACTTGAAAAATATACACTGAAACAGTGATCTCCTCAAAACCTTAGGCTATCAAATTTATTCATCGAACATATTTTTTCATTCAATTCTTTCCTTCCAATTTATTTTAATCATTGAAATAAATATACCCTTTGATGAGTGTATCATATACTCTGGTATATTTTTAAACTATTACCAATTCTCCATTTCTTTTGAGTCAATAACAAGGCAGAGAAAAAAAAACAGTGTTACGATATATAGAAGTGAACTTTTCAGTGAACAAAACTACATCATCTTTCTATTCATTAGATGCTTAACTTGAGTTGAAGATTATTATACTGTCTGAATGAACAATCACCACCAACATCAAAATTACAGTTGGATTTCTGTTGATAATTAGCCAACTAAAACTAGCTGGTTATTTTACATTATTGCCTTGAATACAGTTGTTATTATTAATATCATTCCCGATGCAATAACCGTTTCATCTGAAGGTATTGTTGTTCTAGGAGTGAATTTGTTGAAAAAATACATGCTGAGAATTTCATATTGTCACATATATATTGTTCAGAATAAATGGATTATTATTGTTATCAGTAGTAATAATAGTGTAAGTAGTAGTGGTAGTATTTGTGGTATTGTGAGTTGTAGTAGAAGCAGTACTAGTAGTGCTGGTATTATGAGTAGTATTATTATTCGTTTTAGTAGTGGTGTGAGTACTGCGAGTGGTAGTAGCAGTAGAAGTACTAGTAATAAGATTATTAGTGTAAGTAGCAGTTGTATGAATAGTGGTCTTAGTAGTAGTAATGGTAGTGGTAGTAGTGTGAGTAGTAGTAGTGTGAGTAGTAGTAGTAGTAGTAGTAGTAGTAGTAGTAGTAGTAGTAGTAGTAGTAGTAGTAGTAGTAGTAGTAGTAATTGTGACCACATAGCCGATCATACCAACTGTTGAAGCATACATCAAATGAAACAACAAAGTATAAAGTAGAACTGTGAATATCACCATGGAATTCATTGTATATTTTTTTGTTTCACTCACCTATAAAAGTTTAAATAATTCTTACAAATTTCCAGTAAATTTTCACATGTCTCTGAATCTTCCACAGAGCAACGATAAGTGAATCGTGTACCCTAAATGAAGTTGGAATAAAAAAGTGAGATACCTTAAAATAGTTTAACTTCTTGGTTGCTTAAAAAAAAGTAAGTCATGAAGTTTCTACAATTGGACTGAAACCAGTTGCAGAACCATTAAAAACATGAGGGCTAGGAATCGAACTCAGGGCCTTCAGCTTTAACGGTGAACGCGTTAATCACTCAACAAGTTGTTCACAACTCCTAACTTCGGTCAATTCATAATAAGGTGCGACTATCACCCAAAGTGTTCAGTTGGAATCCACTTCACTTCCGACTGATTGACACAATCACAGGTCACGGCATCTCCTTAGAACTTCGGGATATCCGTCTGAAAGCACATTGCTAATAATGATTACTACACAGAAATATATTTAAAGATGAATGGGGATTTCAATTTTTAGGTAGTATTCATTTCAGAAGGACATGGGTCACAGAATCACTGAAAACCTTGAGGTACTGGACAGATGTTTCATTCTACAATGGAACTCCTCACCAGTACGTAACCATGATATTACGTTGAAATTTGACTTTTTCCATGGTTGCTATAAACAAGCTCTATGATAATGATGTCACAATTTTCTACTAACTTATCTAGCTCATGTCTTTGATACACCGCCCATTTTACTGGTGTCAGACACATGGTATACATTCACATACACCTATATAACAGGACTTTATATCTCCGAAGTAAAAAGATTTCGGCTCTTGTGTATCAGTGGCCTGAGAAATGACACTTTGATGATGAAAGCATTAGGTACTTGGTTCAAGTTCCAGTGAGAAGCACATCACTCACAGGGGTACACATACATCCAGCAGATGACGAGCTTCGAGTGGGACGAAACGCGCGTTTTACACTCTACTACTAACCACCAATCAGAATACAACATGGTGAGTAGTCAAGCAGTATCGAGGCATCTGCATAGAAAATCATCTGCAATACAAAGGTCAAGGAATTTGACTTATTTTAGAGTACAAGAGCTAGATGTCAGCGTTTCTAAATACAAAGTCTAAGGTTGCAGAACAAAAACCAACTACCAGAATAACACGAATAATTGCAACCTGAAATGCAAACATTTATTGCCTTTCAATGTATTTTGTAAGTTGTCTACCAACCTATTCATTCATTGCCAAACTAGATTCGTATCACAGTGGAGAAGACAGGGGTGATGAAGATATCCAACCAACAATGACAAGCACCAATCACCATCAACGAAAGAAATCTAAAGGAAGTTGTCTCTTTCATATACCTACCTAACTAGGCAGCATCATCTCAACCGCATGCGGCGTCACAGGCACAGATTAGGATATCAAAGCCAGCCAGGATTGGAAAGACAGCAAGACAGGTCTACATTCACTAATCTCAGATAATCAGAGTGGAGATCTACTGCACTGTACTCAGCATAAATCGTGAACAAGATCCAGATTTTCAACACTATGATTGTCAGCCAAGTCAGTGCTTGGCGAGTTACGAAAAGGATTTCCAACAAACTTCAGACATACATGAATAGCTGCCGTGTATACTTACTCGATACTGAATATAGAGATCAGATCACTAGAGAGAATAAACAACAAGGAATCCACTCTGGCAACGAACCAAGCAACAAACTATCGCCCAACAAGTATGCCTAAGAAGAAACTGTAGATGGATTGGATTAGACATACACTGAGAAGACCAATTGGGGACATCATGCGTCAGGCTAAGCCGTCGAGTGGAAGCCAAATGGGAAACGACTAGTTGGGCATCCAAGAAGAGGGTGATATGAAGGAGATCGTGTGAGAAAGAAATAAAAGGTTGTAGGCAGTCATGGAGGTAGGTTCAAAGACTGTGGAGAAGAGAGTGAAATAGTGACGTGCTACTGAAGCCCTATGTTCCATTAGGAATTCGAAGGACAAATAAAGTGGGTACATATGAATTCACTATTAAAGTGCTCGCATATATGTGTATGTATGTGAAATCATGTACTTGAAGAAAACTCATCAGTTGAAAAGACATTATCCCCTTGTTTAACCCAATTCTTATGAAAATCTTAAAATCCTTGGAAGTCGGATTCTTGGCAGAAATGAAATTACAGTTCGAGGCTTATGGCAATTTTATTTACTTCATTGATCTACAGTTACATATTTCTGTCGATTCACGATATACTGCAACTATTCACTATGCTTCAAAATGGATGTCTTCAGAAGTTCCACCAGTTGAAAGTTAAAATTAGAATAGAACATTGAATTATACCTAGTGACTATCTTGTAGAAACTAGATGTGTGTAAAGTCAATGAAAAACTCCTAGTTTCAGTAATATAAAGCAGTAATTTGATTAGATATAACTGATTATCAAATAGTAAATTGGCATAAACGAATGAAGTATTTCAAGTTGTTATTTATCTTAGACTGATATCAGTTGGAGAAACAAAGGAAACCTGGGAGCACTGGACAGCTAGCCGCTTCGTCCGACTAGTATGGGACTCCTCAGCAGTGCGCACTCACGACCCCACACCACCAACGACCGAACCCGCGACCTTCAGGTTCCGCAGCCAGCGAGTTACCACTGAGCTAGCCACTGGGTCAGCGGAATCCAGTGGTCCATGTTTCCAACTTCTGTTAGCTCAGGATATAGCGACAACCGCCAACCAATATCATCGTTGAATAACTGTCCTCACAACCATCAGGCTTTACCCCCACCAGTCACGACCTGTCATTAAAACTTCGGGAATACTCCTCGAAGCTAGTCACCAATAAGCGCCAGTTCAAATGAATTTTAAGAGAGTTATGGGGATTTGGAAATATTTCAAATTGTTATTCATCGTAGACTGACATCAGTCTAGTGCTCTCAGGTTTCCTTTGTTCCTCCAACTGATGTCAGTCAGTCTACGATGAATAACAGCTTGAAATATTTCCAAATCTTCACAACTCCTTCAAAATTCAATTGAAATGAAGTAGTTTTATAACTAAAACTTCTGGTTTTCACGTCTATGAAAGTTCCAACTTGATATTAACAGTGGACTGATATCACTTAGAGAACTGCTGAAAATATGAGAGCACTATAAAACTGTTTTTTCACTAGTAAGCGATTCCTCAGCAGTTGAAACCCATGACTATACTTCACAGGGATTCAACTCAGGTGTATAGGTGGAGAACGAATATAAAAATGAAGCCTAGTGGAAATATTAGAGCTTTGGATGATGTCAGGAGTGAATATATATGCGCCACTATCACCGAGGATCCTTAACCACCGATCCCAATGATTTCATTGACCCCAACCAGGCAGTCTATACCTCCTCACAAGGTTCAGGTTAAAAGTATCAAACTTCATTGACTGATATTAATTCTTCATCTGACTACCCTGAATCCTTTTTTCCAGTATAATCCTCCTTCCTTAGCAATGGCACATTAAGGCAGGCACTGACTCAGCATATACAACACATATCCAAGCCATCTCAGTCGACGAAAGTTCACTACTTCATCAAACCACTTGCTTGTCTTCCTTAATACCCTTTGTCTAACATCAGCACTGAAAACCAGTTGATTCCATATCTCCTACTTCTAACAGCCGTGTCTTACAGCTGTACAACAGGACAAAACAGACTACAGTACTGTATACTCATCTTTTGACAGATAACCAGATATCTTGCTAGTCGGTGCCATAGTTGGTAAATGCCAAACAGGCCCTTTGTATCCCACCTAAGATTTCATCAGTAATCAGTATAATAATATTTATTCAATGCAAATACAAGTAATACAAGTTACCTCATTTAATATTTTAATTAAAATCTGTTTATTCCTATGACCGAAACCAGTAATTTGAGGCCTAAAAATAGTAATAATAGTAACAATAATAGTAATAATAATAATGTATTATTGAGATGAAAGGGGATTTTTAATTTAGAGGTAGTATTCATCATGGACTGACATCAGTTGGGGAACCATTGAAAATCTAAGAGCACTGGATAGCTATTTCGTCCAACTGGTATGGGACTCCTCAGCAGTACGCGCCCACGACCCGGCTAAAGGTCGAACTCAGAACCTTCAGGTTTCACGGCGAACGCGTTAACCACTCAGCCACTGGGTCGGTTTCTAGTGGTTCACAATTTCCAACATCTGTCAATTCACGACATAGCCATTCGCTGTGAAACCTGAAGGTCCTGAGTTCGACTTCTAGCCGGGTCGTGGGTACGTACTGCTGAGGAGTCCCATACTAGTTGGACGAAACAGCTGTCCAGTGCTCTTAGGTTTTCAACGGTTCCCCAACTGATGTCAGTCTGTGATGAATACTACTTCTAAATAATAATAATAATAATAATAATAGTTTGAATAGTATTTAAAATTAGGCAAACAGACAATTAAAATCGATATATTTCCAACCAATTACATCACTGGAAATGATGTGCTTAAATCTACACCGTCTATCAGTCTTGAATAAGTGTATCATTGACTGAATCGTTGAAAATTATTCTGTCAAATTATGCTTTTTAAAAGTTCTATCTTGTAATTTTCTTTCTGTTAAACTGAATAGAATCACTCGACTTTTGTTGGTAGATAATCTTCTATGTGGATGCATTGATTATTATTCATTATTTGTCCCTTGAGTTCCTGATGAAACATAGGGCTTCACTCGCACGTCTCCAGTGCACTGTGTTGTCGTGCCCAACTCGTCGCTTCTCATCTGAGTTCCACTTAAGGGACTAGCCTGACGCGTCATGTCCACAAACGGCCTTCTAAGTGTATGCTTAATTCAATCCATCTCCATTTCCTTCCAGTGCATATTTGTTCAGCGACAGCTTCTTGCTTCGAAGGTTCGTTGCCAGCCGGTGTTCCTTCTTGCTTATTCTTTATGGCAATCCATCTGAGCTGAGCTTCACTAATGAGTCAGCGTAGGCAGTTGTTGATGAATATCTGTAGTTTGTTTGAGATGCATTTCGTAACACGCCAAGTCTCTGAGCCATACAGAAGCATTGACTTGTCGCTGGTGTTGAAAATCTGGATCTTGTTCCATATGCATTGATACCCGTCTAAATAATTATTGTGACTAGGATGTGCGTTTTTATTTCATTTAGGATTCATCAGTTGGATATACGTGCTTCTTAATGTTTGATGTCATTCCTATAGAAATATGAATCCAGCAGCGTTTATTGATTTAAACACTAAATCACTTTCTACTAGGTCAAAAAGGCTTATATTCTGTACTCCAATGCGCTTGTTTATTCACTATAAACTTCTGATACGAGTTGATTTGTATCCCATAAACACAAATTCAATGTTCTAATCACTAACTGTTTCAATCAATCTACGCTTACAGATTCATAAGTTGACATGACTTAAGCAATTATCCAACAGTTACCTACTAATTAACTATGCTGTAAAGTATGTAATTCTCGATCGATGCTTAAACTGTGAGGCTGTCCCATTGGTTTTTAGAGTGCTAACTTTCAATCACTTGGTCATGGGCTCGAACCTAACACTAATTATTAAAGTTCAGGTAGCAGCCAGGTAGTAGTAGTAGTAGTAGTAGTATAGACTGGAGGCGATATTTGAACGTTCATTCAGAGAGCTTACATGCTAAGACAACACAAGCTCCCAGACAAAAGTCGAAGTCCTGAAAGCCATAAAGCTACTGAAATGCAGGAAGGCAGCACGACCAGATAGAATCCCATCAAAAAGCACTGAGAACAAAAACAGCGACAACAGATGACATGCTCACACCACACCACATCACTATTGAGGAAGGTTTGCAAGGAAAGGTAGAGTATCTAGCGATTGGAAGAAGGGATACCTTGTCAAAATACCGAAGAACGGCAACCGATGTCTTTGCAAGAACTACCACGCAATCATAATCCACACTTCTCCATCCAAAGCAAAATATTATACCACATCATCCTGGACAGAATAAAGCATGCGCTGTATTCAAAACTACGACCACAACAGGCTGACTGCATTCAACAAGTACAAATCATGTACGGATCAAATTGCAACGCCACTCCACACATCATCAATGAACACAGTATAAAATCGCAGTCAACACTCTACTTCAAATTCATTCACTTTGGAAACGTCTTCGACACAGTCGACCGACAAGTAATTTGGCAGGCAGTTGCTTCAACACTACACAGTGCCACTAACCTTTATCAACCTCATTCAACAGCAGCTATATGAAGAAGCCACATGCCAAGTGATCCACAATGGAAAGCTCAGTGACGCCTTTGAAGTGAAGACAAGAGTAAGACAAAGCTGCCACCTACCATCACCCATGATATTCCTCACTGTAGTCGACTGGATCATGCAACAAACAGTGAGGAACGAGAAGAGGGACGTACTCTGGACCGCGGAAAGGAAACTAGAAGATTTGGATTTCGCCAGTGATGACTTCTATCTAATGTCACACAACCTTGAAGATCTACAGGCGAAATCCAACAAGTTGACAGAAGAGGTAGGACAGAGAAGACGGGACTTCAAGTGAATGTAGAGAAGACGGAGGTTAGCAAGATACCCAACCAACAACATCATCAACAACAAGAGGTACCAATCACCATAAACAAGAGAAATTTGAAGGAAGTAGTCTCTGCCACCCATCTACGTAGATAACAGCATCATGTCAACTACAGGCGAAGCCACAGGCACAGATGAGGATGTCAAAACCAGGATAGGAAAAACAGCAGGACAGGCTTTCATTACTCTGAAATCAGTGTGGAGATCCACTGCACTGCACTCAGCACAAAAAACAAGATCCGGATTTTCAACACCAATTTAGTCAAGCCAGTGTTGCTATATGGTTCAGAAACTTGGTGTGTCACGAAAAGCATTTCCAACAAACTACAGACATTCTTCAACAGCTGCCGCCTATTCCGGTTTCATACTGCAGATCAGATAAGATGGCAAGAAAGAATAAAAAACAAGGAACTCTGGCCTGGTAACGAACCTTCGAAGCAAGAACCTATCGCTCAAAAAGTATGCAGAAAAAGATGGAGATGGATGGAAAATCACGCGCCAGGCCAATTCCTCGTGTGGACTCAGATGGGAAACGACGAGTTGGGCGTCCGAGGAGAGGGTGACATGGAGATGATATGAGGAAGAAATGAGAGCTTTTCTCTTCAGTCATGGAGTCAGATTCAAAGACTGCAGAGAAGTGAGTGGAATGGAGATGTGCTAGTGAAGTCCTATGCTCCACCAGGAACCCAAGGTATAAATAATAATAATAATAATATATACCAAGACAGATCGACTGATTCTGTCCAATATCCGAGTTAACAGGAAACAACATGTGGCAAACGTATGAAATCAACATAGAACTAGGTATTACTGCATAGCAGTCCAAGTTGTCATATCTCAGAGGAGTAAGGTGAAAGACAAAGAAATAGGGAAGAAAACACCCAAAGTGTTACTGTGTCATGACAAAATAACAAGGAGGTATGACAAAATACTGAGTTCATTTAGCCTAGAGTTTCCAACCACTGGTTTCTGTTGTCACATAAACCTCAACCGTGCAGCTCACATCAACAATCAAACCTTTCATGAATTGATACCACCTAACAGGTTATCAGCCTCTAACTGTTGTCTAACCTGAAGCTAATCCATCTAAGAGTGGGAGGAAGCATATACTGACTAGGCATGAGTAACACATATTCCAGCCACTTCAGTCGATAAAAGTTCACAACCCCTTCGACTGAATTTCTTTTCTTCCCTAAAACTCTACACCCGACTTCTGTATAACTGACTTGGTGACGCTGCGACACATGATCTATGCTACGATGGCATCAGTGATCAAACAACTCAAGTCCTTCTCACATCCTCTACGTTTATTGACCGTATTCTACAGCCATATAGCGGGACAGAGAGAATTGTATTACCGTACATTTCACCCTTAATCGACGACTGAATATCGCAGCAGCAGCGGCTTCTGATTCACAAGGCCTTAGTTGACTTCTCAGTTAGGTGAAGAGGTCAGCGCGCTCAATCATTTCACTTCCTGTTGTTAGACAAGGCACCATTGAAGGCTAGTCCAAGAGCAACAGTAGGAATGGCAAGAAAAGTATCCGAAACATTAGAGAACTGCTGATTATGATGTCCAGAAGGCTTTGCACCTTTTCAGCGTCTTCACCCAATAGAACAATGTCATCTGCATATTCAGAATCTACTAAGCGGTTTTCTTTGTGAAGATTAATCTGTGTGAAGTCAGAGAAGCAGAGGAAGGTCTCTCCATATGCGCTTGTGATAAAGTGGACATCATTGACGAACATCACTTGATGTATACAACTCACTGTAGGCTCTAACATACCCATGTATTTTTGATTACAAACCTTCAGCAGGGTAACGTACTCACCCGGCACCTTTTTCGTGAGGGATACCTCCATAAAACATTTCAATCGACGGAGTGGAATGTCGCCTTTAGGTGAAAAAAATCCAGCTAGTGTTTGGCGTCATCAAGTGTGACTGTGTTCTAGAAGCTGGAGGAGTGTGAAAATCTTGTCAAAGCACCCATGGCCAGGTCTGACACCTGCCTAATTCTCTCAGATTTAATATTACAGAACTCGACATAGACGTCTTACAATTAAAAGACCAAGACACTATGTTCATCAGGCTGATCCCGAAGTGGTTTTCACAAGAGAACTTCTTACCTTCCCTCAAGACTGCTACAATCAGTTGTTGAGATCAGTCAGAAGGGATCATATATAACTTCCATACACCAGCTAACACCTCAGTTAACCCGATCAATAATCTGTAGCCATAGTCTTTAAATACTTCCGATACTAGTTCGGTGCACTTATGTGCGGGGTTCTAAGTTGATCTTGCCTGTCTGTCTGTCTAGTCTGTCCC